CACACACACTGACATCAACCGTCGCTGAGTGTAGGTAGCAGCGGGGGTGGGATTTGTATAGTAAAGTTGACGAATCAACACCGCGAGTTTTCTCTGTTCATAACCTCTGGTTCTCCTCTCATTGTGGCATCATTGTTCATTGTTCATGTCCATATGACCTAGAGCGTTGTTGAATGTCATGAAGTACTGAAGTGGGCTATCCGAAAATGCGAGGTCCCATGTTTGGGATCGCGGGCCGTCTAGACTACAGACGGAAGGGACGCGGACAATTCCTGTAGCGCCATTGGATCCTCGAATGCTGTTATCAGACGCGCCATCTGCATACCTGCCTACCTAAATACCGACAACGCTGGCTATGCCTCGAAAAAAATTGGCGGACAGACAGCGCGCGGGATAGCAGCATAGGGATTCAGACTAAGCCACTGTTTGGGTTTCCGTCTACCAAGACCCGAAAACTCCGTCTTTGAATAGGCAGATAGGTACTCTTCTGTTGCCGAGCCGCCAAGTGTTATGATCAGTATCAGTTTTGTAAGGGGCGAATGAGGCGGTGCTAAATTTGGACAAGCGTACCCGATGCGAGCTAGAGGGTACTCGTTCAGTACATGGACAATGCGCTGTCAATACTCGGAATGTACGATATGGTTCGTACCTGAAAGTACAGCCTAGCTTACAGCTTTTTTTCTCCATGGCGGGCGAACCATGTTCTGCCATCTAGTTAGGCTCAAGACCTCTCCTGATAACGTATGCTGCTTTTTCCTCATCAACGCCACTACTTCTGGCCTGCTCACATTTCATACCAGCCGGCTGTTCGACCCCGACCTTTGTCCCCGATTATTCCAATCGCGTCCGCTCGTTTCCTCTTAACCCGCCCAAGCCGCTCGCTACCCCCAGCTCCCACATTAGATAACGGGCCTCTAATATCTTTTGGGGCATCCCAAAGACTACAATCACCACCCGCCCGCCTGTTCGAGTGTTAGCCCGACGACGGCACAACCGCTAGGGCGTGTCCCGCACATCTGATATAATTCGCCTTGAAGCCGTCCACAGGTTGTAGCAGCAACGCGTCCAACATGCTTCTTCCCAAGGGTGGTCTAAACTGGAAGGCCGCGCAGTCCACGCTCCCCCCTTCGAGGGCCGTCTGGAATCTCGTCGCGCGCAAACGAGTCGTTGTCCTCGCCGCCATCATCACAGCCGTCATCCTGATATGGCGCGGTGTGTCCAATTCCGCGTCCGAAATGCAGAGGTACGCATGCGGCCCCTTGCTCGGCTTCCCTACCTCCCTTGATCGCGCCCATCGCTAATCACTCGACAGCTTCTACTGCTGGGGCCCTTCCAAGTCGCCCATGGACATGACGGCAAACGACTATGCTAGATGGAATGCCCATCTGCAAACACCCGTCCTCTATAACCCCCACGCGCCGATCGAGGTCAATTCATCCACCATACAGCACATCAACTTGAACCCCGTCGCCTCCACCACCAAGGCCATTACCAACGAGGAGCGCGTCCTCATCCTGACTCCTCTCAAGGATGCCTCTAAGCACTTGCCCAAATATTTCGATTTGATTGCCAAGCTGACGTATCCTCACCACCTCATCGACTTGGCCTTTCTCATCTCAGATTCCGAAGATGACACCCACGCTGCCCTCGCTGCCGAGCTGGACCGTATCCAAAGCCGCCCTGACAGAGTCCCCTTTCGAAGTGCCACCGTTATCGAGAAGGACTTTGGTTACAAGCTGAGCCAGGACATTGAAGAGCGCCATGCGTATGCGGCTCAGGCCCCGCGCCGCAAGGCCATGGCCAGAGCTCGCAACTACCTGCTCTACTCTGCCCTCAAGCCCGAGCACTCCTGGGTTTATTGGCGCGACTCTGATATTGAGGAAAGCCCGGACACCTTGATCGAGGACTTTATCGCCCACGACAAGGATATCATTGTCCCCAGTATGTTATATTCCTGACGCGAAGCTTCCAGTGCTAACCACCACCAGATATCTGGTTTCACCGTTATGAGGCTAACGGTCACGATATTGAGGGGCGATGTAAGTAACTAGATGTTTGAATTTTTTGTTCAAAACTAACATTATTTTCAGTCGACTATAACTCGTGGGTTGAATCGAACCAAGGCATCGCTCTCTCTAAGAAGCTGGACAAGGACACTGTCATCGTCGAAGGTTAGCACCAACCAGATACTGGCCACAATCTGTCGACTAACAGTTTGCAGGGTACAAAGAATTCAGAACTGGTCGACAATACATGTGCCTGATGGGCGACCGCAATCAAAACAAGGACGAAGAGCTCGAGCTTGATGGTATTGGCGGTGTCAGCATTCTCGTCAAGGCCGATGTCCACAGATCAGGCGTCAACTTTCCCGCCTATGCCTTTGAGAATCAAGCTGAGACAGAAGGCTTCGCCAAGATGGCCAAGCGCGCCGGCTACTCGGTCGTTGGCCTTCCTAACTATGTTGTCTGGCACCAGGATACTGATGAGAAGTTTGCCAAGGACAAATAATAAGGCGCAAAGAAAACGGATTTTGACATACGACGCAACATTAATACGCCCCCGGGGCACTCGCCTATGCACATACGGACAAGCCTCATCTTTGAGAGAAAGATTGACGGCGTCTTATGTGAACATGGACGATTCTTTCATTCAATAAATACGACACGGCGACTTTTATTCTCTTACCATTCTCTCTTGCACCTTTTATTAGACTACAGCGCCTGCTTGAGGAAGGCGACTGATTTGAGCATGCACCATGCCACATCACAACGCCACCCTTTTTGACTGCGCTAATGGTGATGTGGCGGGGCGATTTGGATTTGGTGGGAATTTGAATTTGGTCTGGAGAAGGTGTATGAAAAACGGGCACGCTAATACGACGGGCCTATTGCATTTCTTGTACCATGAGGTCTGGCTGCACCTTGGACATTGTGGCAGCTGCCGAGCCTTGTGTTGGCCAACTCTCTGTCTGGAGATGAAGCGATAGAAAGCGTTGGATCTGGGCTGCTTTTAGGAGTTTTAGGATATTTGTCGTGCATTATGAAATTTTACAGTTCACTGGTGTACTACTGTATGAAATGCGTGTGCAAAGGGAAATGGATGGCTATGTTTAAGTCATCACCCAGCGTCACTACGTTGAGATGATGAATCAAAAAGCAACAAAATCCGTGGAAAGTGAAATTGGCGTTGCATTCTGAACCATTTCCAGGTCGATGGTGTTGCTCGGGGTTGGCATGTTGTAGTTGTCACTGGGTGGCGTCACATGATCCGTGGCAAAATATCGGATACCTATTAACCTCTGCGGCGTCTGGCACGCCTGGGCCATCGTCATAACCTGGTGGCCACCTTACCACGCGGCCCATATACAGGAGCCATCTTTTTCGTTTTTCCTAAATCCTATCCGAGCAACATACAACCTCGAGCCTTTCCTCTTTGACTGCACTTGTTTTCATAGACACAGGCGCCGAGTAGGACGTATACGACGCATACCCGCGCTCGCCTAGCCTCTGCTCCGTTGCTCTGACGGCGACTTTACCCCACCACATCACTGCGGGAGAGCAAGGCCGGTGGCCTTTTGCGATTCGAGAAACCGACCCCTCGAGCGACAAGGATTCACCTCTGCCGACGGGACAAGGCCTGATTACTCCTATCTCGCGGTATTACGAGCCTCACGATACGCAAATCACAACCACACCCCCAACGTAATTATGTGGAGCTGGTTCGGCGGCGGCAGTTCGGCGCAGAACCGCAAAGACTCGCCCAAGAATGCGATCCTGGGCCTGCGGTCACAGCTTGACATGTTGCAGAAGCGCCAGACGCACCTCGAAAATCAGATTGCCGACCAAGATGCCACTGCGCGCAAGCACGTGGCGGCTAACAACACCAGCGGTAAGTTAGAGATGGTAGCTCGCGAGGGCAGCATCTGAGATACGAGGTAGAAGGCGTTAAAAAAGAAGAGACGAGGCTAACGAACGTGGGACATGTGCAGCGGCCAAGGCGGCGCTGAGACGGAAAAAGGCGCACGAGCGCTCGCTGGAGCAGACCGAGGCGCAGGTCGGCACGCTGGAGCAGCAGATCAACGCCATCGAGTCGGCCAACATTAACCGCAGCACGCTGCAGGCTATGGAGAATGCCAGCGCGGCGATGAAGAATATCCACGGCAAGCTGACGCCGGAAAAGGTGGACGAGACCATGTACGTTTTAAGATTCGAAGTTTATGCCCTTTTTCCTCTTTGGTGAAAGACAATGAGGGTTGCTAATATTGGAAATGAATCAGGGACAAAATCCGGGAGCAAAACGAACTCAGCGACGAAATCGTCAACGCGCTCACAGCGTCGAGCCTCAGCAATGCGGTCGACGAGCAGGATCTCGAAGACGAGCTGGACCAGCTGCAGCAGGAGCAGCTCGACGAGGCGATGCTCAAGACGGGCACGGTGCCAGTGCTGGCGTCTCCCCCAAGCCAAGATCGTGAGTCGCAGCCTTGTGCTTTTTCTCTCTCTCTGTATTTGTTGAGTGTACAAGTGTTTACTGACTTGGGGATACCAGCCGTGTCGAACAAGCAACATGCCGTCGCACGCAAGGAAGACGACGAGGAAGAGGAGCTGCGCAAGCTACAGGCCGAAATGGCCATGTAGAGGGTGGAACAGCTGCGAGAGGTCGAGTTGAGCGCGATTGTGTTTGTGAAGTTTTGTTGTTAATCCCATACCTGTGGCGTTGGCGTTAGTGATTCTTCTTGAGTACTGAGTTGATGGAGGAGAGGCGGACGAAAGGAGACGTGTCGAGCCAAGAATGAGTAGATGAGAGCACGTTGATCTGCTTTGTTCTTTTGGTGCTGGACATGTTGTGTGGCCGGTGGTACTGTACATGTGCGCCGGCTTGTCTGAGCATAGCCCAAATTTGTACGTTTTTTTTTTTCTGGGCGATTTTTCTTGCTCTCTCTCTTTTCAACAATGTCCCTTTCCCAACATGTCAATTTTCCAACATGTCAATTTTTTTGGTAGATGATTTAGAATCATTCTTGTCAACAAGACCATTTTCCGCCTTGAACAATGTCAACCCCTCGTTATTGGCCTAGACAGCAAGGAGGGCGCCTCGCAGCAAGTCGGTACAAGCCTGATGAACTGGTTTGATGCGCCCATCATCTCTACCATGGGTTGCATGGCTATGGATTAGTGTACCACCAACTCACTTATTAGGTTGTGGCGCGTTTCACAGGCTGCAAGTCCCGGGCTGACGGGGCGCCGTCGACACCCAATCAAGCTGGAGCTGGCCGAGGCGACACTAAACCAGGACAACCTGTACATGATGGGAGCTTGCAATATACTTGTACCCAGTCGGCATTTGTTTGCGTTTCTTCATCTTTACTTTGCTACATTAAATCGTTTGAGTTTATTAATGAATCTTTTTTTTATATTTATTTGGGATAAAATTCTGTATCGTTGGAATAAAGGCGACGTTATCGGAACAGATAGGGAGAGGGGCTAAAGGACTTGGGCGCTTAGAAGGAAAAGTAGCTCTGGCGGTTAGGAGCAGCTGGGGCCACGCCACACACGCACGCATGTTTACATGCAGACCTGCATTTGAAGAGAGCCCCCCCCGCACTGGCAGAAGAGCTGCCGTCCATGACTGGATCATGTTTGTACGAAGCGCTCTGCTCTTGCTTCCTCCCGCATCTCCCGCATCTGCCACACCAACCGCGGAACAACCTGTCTATCCTGCCCCCGCCCTCCACACACACACACGCATCTGCTTGCCCGTTTGTTCGTACCGCAGCTCAAGCTCGGCGGCAAGCATGTCTAGCGATAGGCTGACGCGAGGGCAGAGGATCGGGGATGTGAGGAACTTGTAAAGGGAAGTCGATGATGAAAAATATTGCTGCATTTCCTCCTTTCCCCCCTTGTCGTCTCTCTATTTTCCTTTTCTCTTGTCCTTTTTTCCTCAGCGCTTGATCATTGATGGACATGACTTTTTGACGAGAAGCTTTTTTCCCTTTGTTATTGTGTTTATCCTATTCTACTTGTTTGATATATACGGCATTGGTGGTTCTTTGTTCGGTTCTTGGTGCGTCGTTTGACTTTCATCTATTCACTCTCGGTACAGCCGAACCGTCGGGAAGCTGTTTCCGCGAGCCACGAGACCAATCATCGTCCCGTCCGACGACTTTTTTTTTTTTGGCACCTAGAGAAATCCCCCAAAACTCGTTTGTTTCGCAAATCTCAGAGAATTGGATTTCGAAGAAAAGAAGAACGGGTTGACATGTGCATACGACAACAGGGGATGTACTGATCCTTTTCTCTACAAATCCCCTTCCGAGTACGAACGACCGCTTCATATAAAGCTCACTTACACGCTCACTCACACAAGGGGGGACTTGGATTCCAGCCTCGGATTTACTAGAGATGGCCAGGCATCGTCATGCCTTGCTCACGCCGCTCACCGCCGTCATTCTTTTACACCACGCACGTCAACCTGCATCCGCCGAGACGACCCTCTCCGTCCCGGCGCGCCTCCGCGACGACGTCGCCGCCTTCCTGCCCGCATGCGCCGTGCCCTGCCTCGCCTCATTCATCGCCGCCAACTACGCGCGCGGCGACGACACCGACCAGTATCTGACACTCGACTTTGTCTGCGCTCACCGCGGTCGCTCGGGATACACCGTTGCCGAGGGCGCCCTGCAATGCCTGACCGCTGAGAGGAGCGTCGGCTTCTGCGACGACGAGGTCAAAGGTGCGTAAGATTCTCATTCACGGGGAGGGAGAAGGGGAAACTGGTTTTGCTGACTTTGCTTGGGGGGACTTTTTTCACCGACAGATGTCAAAGTCAATCAGATTTGCAGCGGCAGGAAAGATGTGGCCAAGAATAAAGGCGGCGCCATGACGGCGACGTTGCGTTATGCTTCGCAGAGCGGCATCTTGACCTTTGCGCCTGTTACCACGTCGCTATCGGCGGTGCCCATTCCCACGCCGACGGAGACTTCTACGACGTCTACGAGCAGCTCTACGTCGTCTTTTACGGAAACTACATTAATGACGGCGACGTCGACGAGAAGCTCTTCCACCATCACCACGCCACTTTCTTCACAGACCACCACATCCTCACCCACCTCAACGCCTGAGGTGCCCGCCGCCGATACGTCTTCGTCGCCGCCTTTCTCAAAAGGTCAAATCGCCGGCATCTCCATTGGCGCAATTTGTCTCGCCGCCGGCGTCGCCTTTGGCCTGATCCTTCTCGTGCGGTTCCTGCTCCGCCGCCGCCGCCGCCGCCGCCACAGCAGCTCCACTATTGGCAGCTTCATCGGCGGAGGACCCCCCGGCGGCGGCGGCGGTGGAGGTGCTGGCTACATGACGGCGCGCGATACCTGGGGCTACGGCTTCGACAAGACGTCAAACTCCAACGGCACTAGCAGCGCCTCATGGGCCACTCGAGAGGCACCTGGCATGTCGCGCTACCCAGCCATGACTGCTGCGGCAACGGCGCCGGCTAGCAACAGCAGCAACAGCAGCAGCCATACAAAGCAGCAACAACGACAACAACAGTATAATAACCGCCATCAGCCGTATAACCGGGAAAGCTGGCGCCCGAGTGCCATCGGTCTCGCCATCTCCCCGTCCAAGCTGTTCGCGAGCAAGAGGACGCCGACGCCCACGAGCACGCCGACCCGGCCGCGGCCGCTCTCGAAGCTGCTGCCCGCAAAGCCCGATATGACGCCCGCAAACGCAATCAGAATTGGCTTTTCGCCGCCGCCGCCGCCGCCGCCTCCCGCCGCGACGTATCAAGAAACTCGCGGCGCCCAATTACCCCAGCAGCAGTCGTTCCTTCATCCCATAGCCGCCCAGTTCATGCGTCCTTCCGCCGCCAGCGCCGCCGCCGCCGCCAGGCCTACGTCTCTGCGCCTCGTCATCCCGGACTCCCAGCCACTACCACCACCACCACCACCTCCCGTTCCCGAAAAGGACCTCCATCTCCAGCGCCAACCCATCCTCGGCCGCGAATCGACACTCACGGAATTCGAAGAGGACGAACTGCACCGCTCTGTGTCCACGGCTGTCGGCCAGATCTGGCGTCCGCCCTCTCTGCTGCCCGACTCTGCCGTTGCCGCTCCCTACTACGTCGCAGACGGCTCCGGTAACTGGGTCCTCAGCGACGCGCGCAAGAGCATGACCGCTGGCGCCGGTGCCGGCGCCGGCGGCAAGGAAACGATGCGGCCGCGGAGTCCAGAGCCAGAGAGCGCCGTCTCGGCGCCGCGCATCGCCACGGCGCGCTCCGGCATCGTGACGACTGCCGTGCAGACGCACATTACGGCGCCGCGCCGGTCACCAGCCATGCTAACCCCCAGAGACGAGACAGCCCGCGCTACAATGGACAAGTACACGCAGCAGCAACAGCACGGCGACAACGAGCCGCAGGAACTCGAAGCGACGCCATCGCTGTCGCTGAGCCGACACAAGCAGAGGAGCGCGAAACAAGAGACGACCCAGCTGGGAGAGCTGGGAGATGCTACGCCAGCACCTCTTCAGACACCGCGTCTTCGCTCCATCGTGCACACGCCAAAGACGGTGCCCTCGCCGCTCTTCTCGCGGCAGCCCAATCCGCGATCCTCCTCACAGCCGCTTCCCAGCACGCCCGCGTTTGCGTCCACGTCTGCGTCCACGTCCGACGGGCGCTTGCTCACGCCGCGTCCAGCCCCGTCACGCGTTATGTCGGACGACAGCGGCATCACCACTTTCAGCGTCTCGTCTGCCACGTCAGATGACATGCCGCCTCCGCTGCCGGCTCCTAGTAACAGGAACCTCTCCCCTGTTGCCGAGTCGCCCCGCAGCCGCGCCGCTAACCGCGTCGCCGCCCAAGAATCTAACACCAGCAACGCCGCCGTCGTCCACGAACTTCCCGCCACCGTCGCCGCCTCGGACCACAGCAGGAATAGTAGCAACGGCGGCGGCGGCGGCGCTAGTTCCGTCTCGTACCCGCCGCGTATGAACGGCCGAGGCACGCCCGTGCCCCGTGACCATGCTGTATTGACAGGCAGCCCGCTGTCGCCGCCACCGCCGCCGCGGATGGCGTTCCCGAGCTGCCAGCCAAGCGCGAGCCAGTCCAGCCCGACGCTCGGCTCCGTGACAACATCACACCAGGGCCACGCCACCGCGGCGTCGTTTCCGCGACAACCGCTGCCGTCTTCCCCGTACCATGGTCCACCGGAAGCGGCTCGCGGCGGCATGGCGCGAGGTCGAGGACGTGGCGGCCCCATGATGACGATGATGCGCCCGCCGCCGTCGGACATGCCACGCGACCCTACTCTCCTTGCCCCTCCGCAGATAGCCCAGCATCCGCGCACCGGTTCGCCCACGATGCGCATCGTCGAGCCCTCGCCTGAGCCAGACCCTGCGCAACCCACCACCACCACCGCACCACCCCGCGACGACCGTTTCCTACTCCCCTCCGCCGCCATCACCACCCGTCCTCCTCGACGTCGCCCACCCAGCCACCTCCCGCATCCATTTCCCATGTATCCTCTTCGCCGTAAACCTCCGGCTCCGCAGCAGCAGCAGCCAGACTCCGCGTCGCCGCCCTGCGCCGCTCCGTATCCTACTTCTTCTCCTTCTTCTTCGCCCCGCCACCGCGGCGATAACAACGACAACAACGGCGGCGGTAGCAGTCTGAACCGGTATCCAGGCCACCCGATGCCGATGCCCCACCCCTACAAGCCGCGCGCGTCGCCCTCGCCGTCCCCGCGCGCTGCCCTCCTCCGCTCAGACTACGACCCCGCCGCGCACGACAACAGCAGCCAGGAAGCCCTCGCCGATGCGTCCTCGTCCTCGTCACTGCTCGCAAAGAGGTTGGGGTCGACGCGCGCCGCCGACATGGCGCTGCCGACGCAGAGCAACCGGGAACGGGAGCGGGAGCGTCGCTGGCAACAGGTGCCCCAGCCCCAGCAACAGCAGCAGCAGCAGCAGACGGGAGAAGGGAGGATGCAGAAGAGGACACAGGATACAGAATATCTTGCGACGCCGGAGCTGCCGAGCACGCCGACGTGGGTACCGCGGTTGACGCCCACACGCCGAGGGGAGGACCTGGTGCTGAATGTGGGTTGAGCTCTGATACAAGAGAATAAGGAAAAACAAAGACGAAATTTTGAGAAAAAGGCAAGAAGAAAAAAAATAAAAGAATATAGGAAGAAGAGACTTTGCATCGAACAAAGTCGTGTACGACTAAAATGACTAGGTCATAGGCTTTGGTATAGTTGGTTTGTTCTGGAAGCGTCTTTACAATACTCGGCGCATAGGGCGCAACTCCTTGTCAGGATGATATCCAATCTTCACATAGACAATCTTTGAAAGTTGTATTTATTCGCGGCTCGAACAATTTAATTCTAGGACCATCAAAGTACTTGTTCGGCTCTTAGGTGACCAAGGTGCTTCATTTCTGGTGTGCGCGACCTAATTCCTCATCTATCATGGCCGTCTCCATCGAATTCTCCCGCTCACGTGCGTTCCGACCTTTGCCTGGGGTGCTGAGATTGCTCATGCTGTATCCGTCAAAGTCTAGGTCATTCCCAGTCTCGCTGCTTTCGTCTGATCGATGCATCCCCCTGCCCTTTGCCCTCCTGCTACCAATATGCAAACCTCGCTTCAAGTCACTCATCTGATTATCCAGCGCCCCCAACCCTTGTTCTAAAGCGCCACGGTTCAAATGAGCACCGGCATCAATGAGGCGATTCTTCTTTCGGATTTCCTGCCATCGCGTCTTGCCGCCGAGCTCGAGAATGTTCATTCGGCGCGTCTTTCCAATGGGGTTGCCAATCATGATCGGACGCCACGCCTGCTCCTCCTCCATCATAGCCTGCGGGTCATTTGGCATTGATGCTCGGCGAATGGTTGACTTTCGCCTGGCTTCCACCACTCGGTCCATCTCGTCAGTTTTGGATCGTGGAATGATTTGAATTTCCACAAAGCGGACAAGAACTAAAAGTAAAAGTACCGTCAGAACCAATAAAATGCCTGCAACGACGCCAGTCGCAACTTGCTGTCCTAGCGTCCTCGTGACATGCCCACCGAGTGCGGTAGAACCAGCAGCCAAAATAAAAGCAAAAGTTTGGATAATCGCAAATCCAGCAGTCACTCGAGGAAAGGAGGAGTAGTTCGTTCGCTTTGGATTTCGGGCAGAAGAGCCACGTTGCCGACCCGTCATTCCAGGGCTCAGATCGGAGCAGTCAAACGTTTCCATGATGAGGCCGTTGCATTCAGAAATGGCTAGGCAGGAAAGAAAGCCAACACCAAGGGAGAATATCGTCGGCAAGCTTATATGCATAGGTGGACCGGTAGAAACAGCCGCGTAGCAAATGCCGACCAGTGGGAGAAGTAGCGAAAACACAGTCCGGCGCACCATGTGGGAAGACCAAACGACGCGTTTGTCCAGCGTGGCTTTGCTGGTATTGAGTTGCGCGAATCGAGATCTAGAGAACAGGTTTGCCTTTTGAAACGGAATTGCTAATAGTGCACCCAGTGCCATGCTGGCAACCAAGAGACCAACCGCAGGAGATCGAAACCTATAGTGCTTCGAGGCCAAGGAGCCCAAAAGAACAATGATCAAGACTACCTGACAGTAGATCCACGAGGAATATATTGCCATGACCAAGAATCCTGGCTGTCGAAGCATCTCCATGGACAGAACAATGCCGTGGTACACCTCTTCTCCCCACCACCTGGGCCCAGTCTTGGCCCTGTGCATCATGATCTCGCCACGCGCCACACGACGAGAAATGTCAGATCCTGTTCTGACCTCTGCAACAGAGCGTCTGTAAGCAGAACGGCGGACTTCGGGACAAACGACATTAAGAAATAGAACCACAGCGATGAGGATGATGCTGACATAGAAACCCCACGTCGGCGTATACTTGTCGATGATGGATGCACCAACGAGAAAGCCTACTCCAAGGGAGCCAATCCAGCACCAAGTCCAGATGCCGAGCCAAACTCCCATGCCACCTCCGTGGCGCCGTGCATCGTAATGATCAACCACCTCCTGATGAGGATTCACACTCATCAGGGAGGCACCAAACAGGTCAGTGAGAGTGGAATGAAAATTCATGCTGGCGAACCCAAGCGACATACCCATCAGTGTCCTCGAACCAAGGAGCAGCGATCGCCATTGCACTGAATCAAACAGTCTCTGAGAGGTAACGGCAAGTGCTTGTGGGAACAAAAGCGGCATTGCGAGAACGAGACCACTTAGAATATAGGGCTTTCTCCCGTGAAGTAAGGGCAATGGCCATAGAAGAAATGTGGGAATGGCCATGCCGAGAAAGCAGCCAGTATTTCCATGAACAACCACATGATCAGGGTCAATGACATAGTACTGGATGGACGGAACCAGTCCAGCATAGATTCCAAGAATAATACCAATCAAAGCGGTGCTGATACAAGCGACCGAAGCGACGAATCGCTTGCGAATTGTCGACCAGTCTCTGGCGATAGGCTGGCGTCGATGCGATCGTGCTAAATTGAATCGTTGACCCGCCGGTAAGCTGACATGTGAGCGACGTCGTAAACTGATACCATGGTCGGTAGGCATTTGCCGGCCTGCGATATCTTGCTCTGGGAGCTGTTCGTTACCGAATTGAAAGGTACCTTGTGGCACCGCGTCGGTCGCTGTTTGGTAGGGATTCATATATGCTCTCTGTTTACCTCGAGCACCTGCTGAACGAGCATTTCCACCCATTTGAGAGTGGACAGAGAAAGACCGGTTACCATCTTCTCCCATTGCAGCACCTGGAAGTTGAAAGGTAACGTGGCGTTGTGCTTGAGAGTACTCTTCCGATTTGGTCATCACTGCATCATCCGAGTAATTTTCTATTACTTCGCGTAGACGAGGCCTGTTGTCGGCTGCAGAAAATGTCTCTGCATGTTTGCAAGTGGGCCTTGGCGAAGAGTAGTTTTCTGTCTTTTCTGATGAAACCTCCTCGCTGGAGGAAGACACGTCTGAGTCGGAGCTTGCTATCTCTTTGCTGCTTTGCCGAGAGTGAGTTGAAGGAGCACGTTTATTGGAGAGATCAACAACCTGCGAAGCTATTGAGACCGCTTCATTCACTAGTCTCTCCAAGTCGCTCACAGCTCGACGAAACAAAAAGCCATCGAAGCGCGAGTCTGATCTGGTAGAGTACTTTGACAGTCCGGTCACTCTTCGTGCTAGCTGAACATCGGCCAAAGACGGGTCCTCTAAAGCATTGACAGACTTCGATCGAGAGCCGGAATTCGTCGGGCGCCTGGTAAGTTTTGTTGTGTAGGATTCAGGATACCACAACATGTCGCGCAGCCACTTTGAAGCCCTAGTGTAGTCGAGCAGCGAACCAACTGAATAACTGCGCTTGAGGCCCCTGTTTGGCAACGAAGAAATGGATGAAGTGACGCCATACACATTATCCGAGTGGCTGTGGGGTATATCTACCAAAGAAGATTTCTGCCGCAAACTGCGAATTGGAATAGGAGGTAACAGATCGTCTGAGCCCCCTTTTTCGTCTGTTGGAAAGGTCAAACAAGCCGAAAGGCTGTGACGGGCATCTAAAGAGTATGTCAGATATGTCATGTGATGGGAAATATTCAATGTACCTTCTGCGTGCTGCCAAGAATAGTCGGGCTGAATAGGCGAAGGCATTTGCATCACGAGATGATGATGACCAGGATGCGACGCAATTGTGCTGAATGACGCAACGCTGCAAGTTTCATCGTCCAAAAGTTGAAGAGCGTCTCTTGGTTCTGGAGAGTCGTATGATGGGAAGTTGACACCATTCTGGACTGACAATGGCTGCAGGCGGGAACCGTTGAGGTCTGATACCGGAGTGTGTAGATGGCGAGAAACGGAGCCATCCTGCTAGGGAGCTCTGATCGAATACGGGCAAATTTTGTCTCTGAAAGCTGGAGTCGGCATTGCAGAGGAAGATTCGCGTACTGACAAAAGGAAAATTAGAAACATGCTTTAGGTAAGAATACGCGGAGGGATATACCGATGCTCGACCGCTTTTTGTCGATCTTTTTTGGCCGGCCAGCAGTGCGAAGGCGATACGGGTTCTTCTGAGCGGCACCATCAATGCTGTTCAATTCAGACCCGTTTGAAATCTTTTGCAGTGGGGCATGACTTTTTTCAGTCTTGTCTTGGAGCGAAAATAAAGGCTCCTTTTCGGCATCATTATGTCCTCTGATCAATCTGGAAAACAGTCGAGGTTGGCGGCGGCGACGGCAACCCTTGTCTTTCGTATTAGCCGGGAAATACTCATGTGCTCCAATTGCAATGACGGGACGGGTAATAGATAATGATGGACGATTGCTCGGGGCAGGAGTATTGTCAAAGCTCCCAGTGTCAGAATCGGAGACCGTAGATTGGTGAGAATCAACAGGCCAGGCCTCTGCGTGCGAGTAGAGAGCGGATAACATCTTCTCGGCGGCGTTTGTGACGGGTGACGTGACACAGACTCAGTAATCTATGCAGATTGATGAAAAGTACATGTTGAAGAGGCACACGGAAGCGATTCGGTGGCGAGATGATTGTGGTGCTAGACGGTTCGACGGCCTTGGTAACCTGTGGCCGATGTGAACGGAGACGGCGTATCGATGATGAGAGGAGGAATAAATGCTTTAAAGATGATTGTATAAATACTGATAGGATTTCGGAGCAGTAGAGAGGTAGGAATGGAGATGATGGCAAAATGATTGATGCTGCCGGAGTGAAGATGCTGCGTTTGTAGGTTGCACAGTGGCCAAGAGAAAGAAAGCACTGGCCGACTACCCCTTCACAAAATACAGGCGGGGCCGATCAAGGAGCAAGCACACAAGTCAGGATGCAAGACGCAGGATGCAGCAGAAGTTCAATAAAAATAATGCTATAAATGAAGAGCTTAAATCTATTTGAATTGCTGTTTTGATAAATGTGTTAATTTGGCATCGAGTAGCAGGCGATACAAGTATGCCCACAAAGCTCGAGCACTCATGCGGGGGCATAGGTACCTAAGGTAGACACGCGCCCGCATCGGATCTACATACATATAAAGTATAACATGCACCTCGTGTGTAGGCATCAATCTGAATGTATGCCTCCACTTTCGAAGACGGTATGACAGATCAGCCAACTCGGAGATTTTATCATTTCTTCAAATTGTGCTCATCGGAATACGAAGAAAGAAGCGCGAAACGATGATTTGCTTTCTCCCAATTGTCACAGCTCGCGTATAGTCAGTATATTTGGGGGCCGGGGGGAGGGGCCGCCCGTAGATCGGGCAAACACCACCAACATACCGATTTCTTTTCTTAGCTCACACTAGGCATCTCGCCAATCACAGTCTTGTGTGTAAAAGTTTGTTTCCGACAGCCTTGGAACCCCACCGTAAATAGCTGGGTCGCCCTATTTACAGCCTCGCCCCGTGTTTCCTGATTTTGCCCCCAAATTCGGTTGCCGTTGGGCGATTTTTCCAACCTGCCCCGTCTTGCCCGTATCTCTCCACATTAGGCGGCCACCCGATTAGGCAACCGCTTGTGGAACACATACTTCGGTGGCCTGAGTCAACACCCGCGAGGTGGCTGTCGTTTGCTTGGCCGTATAGTCTCGCAGAAGAATCACGGCGAGCTCAATGCACGTGCACTCTCGATTAACTGCGGGAAACTACATTTCTAATAATACGCTTGCGTTTCAGATCGTTTAGCTTGGGAGACATTGTCAGCCTCGTTCATCACTCCACAGTGAACGGTGAATCATGGGTATCAGCCATGCGCGTATATCCATTTGTGCCGTTCACATTCAAGGGCATTCATTATTGGAGATCAAAGAAGATTGAATTTCGGTCAAGAATCATCTAAAAAAGAGAGCATCCAGTACTCTTCGTCTTGGCTTGGCACGGCCAAACCGGAGCTGCAACCAGTACAGCATAGCATTGTAAACAAGCTGGTAGTAGAAAATAATCCAAAAAGAGAAATAGTGCATCCTATGCGTGCAACCGTATATCCGTGCCATGTAATACCCTAAAAGTGTGGAGAGAGTATGCCGTTTTTTTTTCTTTGCGAATAGAGTGTAGTTGGCCTTGAGCCTGAGAATGAGATGAAATGCGTTGACAAGCGGATGGTCGTGAAGCTGGCCTGCTTGCCCGAAATAAGTGGTATCTATGCGCTCTTATAAAGCAAAACAAAAGAATTGAGAGGAAATGTCCCAAAGCAAGGGGGCCTTTGTAAACATGAATTCAGAGACTGAGCCAGCTCAGCTTAGATGGTCGTAAAGTCGTCTGCTGCGAGGCGGTAGCTTGCCACTTGTTGTCGTGAATAGATGTACAAGTGCATACACTGTATAGAGAGGCGTTGAGTCGTAAATGCGTCCAACGGCGAGATAAAGCGAAAGAATGGGGGTATTTTTCATAAACATGCCGCGTGTCTTGCCACAGCAAGCTGGGATGAAAGCCGAGAGGGGTTGGTCGAGCAGAGAAAGACAACCCAGTCGTGAAGCCGAAACGGGTTCAAGCACCCGCATGTACGGCAACAGCCCACCGCCCAAGACAGCGCATTTCACTTGAAGCCCTTGGAAGCTGAGCGGTAGCTGCTGTAGCCAGAGTCAGATGAGTGGGTGAAGTGGTTGGCGGCGGCGGCCTGGTGGGCGGCGTGGGCGGCGCAGGAGTAGCCAACCCAGATGGTGCGCTTCTCGACGCCGTGGTGGCCATACGAGGGGCAGCGGTCGACGGCGTGCTGGTAATAGAGGCAGCGGCAGGCGGCGTACAGCTCAACGACTTGGTAGCACATGATGGAGAGTTGTGGTCTGAGTTGACTTGAGCTGCCTCAGTTCTAGTCTAGTAACTGGAGTCAGGCCGACGGGGTTGGCAGAATAAGGCCGTCGCAGAAGAGCAGTGACGTTGTATGTCTGACAACGTATATCCAGCAATAGTTATGCTGCGGCAGATTGTCCAGGTGCAGTACACTGTTGTGTGCCTTTATTGTGTGTGGAAGCAGTCATGGACAGTGTAAGAGAATGGCAGTCTTATGATGTCACAGACGTGTAGAGAGTCTGGCGTTCAGATGAGCAGTGTGTAGATGGAAAACAGAAAACGAAAAGGAGGCAGAGAAGAGCAAGACTCAAGGAAATCCGTGACTTTTTAATGAAAACGAGAGATTAGAGGGTGATGTAGGCAGCCAGGCAGAAGAGAACCGGAAGAGGTAGGGACGTATAGCCTTATAGTCGGTGGGCGGACCCGGTAGCCTAGAGGAACGGGCAGCTTGGGGTGTGTGGGCGGCAGTGAATTAGGACAAAAAAAAATGCTAATATCCACTTACACACCACCACCACCGCATCATCAGGAATAGTAGAAAAAGTGTCTACGATGCATGGGGGCTGGCTTGCCAGGGGGGCGGCGGGAGGATGGAGACTTGGGAAACAGTGGACATACATGGGACGACTACACAAGTGTGGGCAGAGCGGGATGGACAAGGCTGTTGCGGTTATTTGGTAAAGCTGTGGTGAGAAACGGTTCTCGTAAGGATGACTACTTTTGTTAGTGATTGGTAATTGGTGGAGGTTGTTGGAGAGGACTTGGAGAGAAATTGGAGGAGAGGAACTGAGAAGAGACGGAATGAGGGAGAGTGTTGGTGTGTGTAAGAGGGAGGGGGGTGTGACTGGTGACTAACAAGAGTATGGCGAGAGAAGCGCAGCTTCGAAAGAGGAAGCCATATTCGGACAATTTATCTTGAACTTTTCCTGTTTTTCCTTTAAATCCCAGTGGATAAAATAAATCAAGGTTCATTACCCAAAGAGGTGGTGGGCGCAGCCAATTGGCTTAAAGAAGACACAGATAGAGAGAGTTGCTGCCTGGGCCAGGCAGAGCTAGGCAAAGAAGAGATGGAAGAAAAAGAGTCATCGTCCAATTGCTGCGGGCGTCAGTTGTCGCTCACATGAGCCCAATTTTTTTGGGGGAGCCCGGTTGCCCAGCGAGGGCATAGAACGCCATGTACGCAGCAGGGCTGAATTGACGTGTGGGACAGGCGGACAGGCGCGAGCAGGGGTGTCCATTACTGACTAAAAGTTGACGGCAGAGTATAGCTCCCGAGAAGATAACTAAGTATGAAGAGGTGATATTCATGCTTGGTAAGATGGCATAGTAATCGCGTATGACGGCTCCGTGCGTTTAAAAAAACATCATTGGTTGATGGCTGTTATAGTTTTGTGTTACGTGCTGCGGCGAATGCGCGGCTGGCTGCTGTGGGTGCTGAGACATGTACCTATGCTGTATGTACAAACTGATGCGTGGTGACAGCTTAGGTACTTTTCGACATGCTTGACAAGGCTACAATGAGAAGTTGGAATACAGAACAAGGCTGTGCCATTCGAGGTGCTTTTGTCGTGGGATTGCCGTTGATGAGCAAGCATCGACAAGTGCATTGCAGCGCGTCACAGCGCGTTATAGCGTGCCACAGCGGCTACTTCACTGAATTTTACAGCAGGTCGAGTCACTGTGGCAGCTGCTGTCGACGATCACCCTCAACCAGGCCGGCCCACAGCCAATTAATTCCTGGCTCATGACTGGTTCACGTGCTCCAAACAGTCATCTCCAGCCCAGATATTCCAGGCATCAAGGCAGCCTCACCCGTTTGTCCCATCTTTATGCATCTCCAATGTCGTGTCCCTGTCCCACTGCCTTTCTGATTCAACCGACTGCCATCTATTGCAATGGGTTTCTTTCCTCGAATTGACTCATTCCCTACATCGTCAATCGGTAAAGCCACCGGACCGAAACGGGATGCTCCTGGCTACTAGTATTCGCCAGTTCGACCAATATGCCCTCACAGCCTCCTCCGATACTCCACATCAGCCTCGCACCACAGCCATGGGCTCCTCCGCCCTAGGTACTGACCAAAGTCAGGTAACAAGCTGCACTGTTGACACATAGGCAACCGATTTTAGATGAACTGACCTATTGCGAACAAGCACCTTTTTCGCGCAACAAACATTCAAGGGCTACCTAGATACGAATGCTGAGCAGATACCGGTGCCGAGCCGTAAACCGCCATGACACATCGGGCCATGCACCATGGCATCGTCGGCCAACCGCTGCACCCAGAATGACGGGTACTTGTTGCTGGTTCAAATTTAGTAACTACCAAGCCTAACATGGCATCGATGGGCAATCGAGATGACGCTATGGGTCGATGCCAACTGCACACACCATAAGTGTATCTTCCCGAACGAATTCGCATAGACACCGAGGCAAGGTCGTGCATACTTTGACAAGCAAATTCTCTCAAGAGCTGACTGTCAAGCACTACCTTGCCTGACTACGAAACATACGCAAGAGACAACAATCAACGTCCTAGACTCTGAAATTACGAGACATGCAAACACTCCAAGACACGAAAGGCACGCGGAGCAGGCAAGCAGGCAGGCATTATTCAAGCTGTCAGTCAACGCTACCCAAGTCAAGATGCATGTCCTAGACACGGGCCCTTGCCGTAGTGATCGCCCAGCCAAAAGCTGCATCAGTTCAACTTACGAGCAGCTACATATCTCGCTAGACCGACGAGCGAGCCCGGCACCTAGAAAGCCACAGACGTGTCTGGAGCTGGTGGGCGCCATCATGACCGCACCGGGGCGTGAATAAGTAGAGACCACTCAACCCACTCAACCACTGTGGAGGTATCTGCACTGTCCCGCAGTTTGCCTTCTGCCCAGCTTCGCGATGCAACGCGCTGCAGGCACAGATGCTATTTTTACTCGCACGCATCCACACCTCGCAACACTGCTACTCTTTTCAGGGCGTGTCTTCAGCCTCTTGCTTTGCGTTGCATGCGAGAGCCAGTCTGAAACGGCGGCTGTGAAACATGCCTTGGCCCAAGAATAGACGCAAGGGCGCTGACCTGACAGGACCGTGGTGTAAAAAGTCCCTGCATTTGCTGACGATTCGCGGGCTTGTGCAGTCGTGTAAGCCGTAACACAACCCGCCCTCACGCGATAGAGACGCCTCCCACGGAGATCGTTGCTCAGCCGTGCCGAGGCCTAGACACCAGCTTGAAAAAAAGAAACAGCTCTTGTCGAAACTGCCAGCTACTATTCCCACGCTTCTGTGAGTCGAATACTACAGGGTTTCGCCTCTAGCGTCGACGACAGCCGAATCAGGCCACGCAGAGCCAAGTCTAATAATAACCAAATACAAGCTTCCGTATAGAAGCAGAGCTATACCGCGAAACAAGCTTCCCTTGCCGGACACTCGCAAACTTGGAAACACTTCTGTCTTGGACCGCAATCCCCCACTGAATCCCCCACTGGGGCGGACGGCGTCTCCGGGTACTCGGTTCCCCACCGAGCGCCCGCCTGGGAAGTGTAGGTAGTCCACCCGATGGCAGGAGCTTGAGCAAGTCTGTCGAAAATCGCGGCTCAAAGTTGTACCACTGATCGCTTGTTTCAAAGAAAAATCATCAAGGCTCGGACATTTCTCTTCTTCTCTGCTTTCAGCCATGTTAGTCCCATTGTATTATTACACGAGAGCTGATGCCTTGCCTGCCTGCATTGCGAACCAAAAGTTGGGCTCGCTTCCCAAGTCGCTGCGCCTCACCCAGTCACCGCCCTAAGTCCACAGCCACCGCATAACCTCGGTGTCGAGCTTGGGACGATGCGGCGCCCGAGAAGGCGTGACTTTTTACAAAGCGGGAAGACGAGGAATGAGGGAAAAGAAAAAAGAAAAAGAAAAGAGAAAAGTGTGGCTACAGCTACAATGGCCTTGTGGTTTTTCCTCTACATACAATAACGAAATGTTGTCTTGTTCCGGCTGCTTTCTATACACACGCCATCCCGATATCCATTCGGTGTACAGATATACAATGTAATGGTTACTGCGAGGTCAGCAGATAAATACAAGCAACAGTCGGGGGTGCGAAGTCGTTTATTTGCCGTTTAAGTTGCCAATTTGCAAAAACTTGTAAAGAGAAAAAAACAAACAGAAATGTAATTGGGTGAATACATTCGGTCCGTTTAAAAAAAGTTCTATTGGCGCTTTTGCTGGCACAAAAGAACATGTAAATAAGAGGGGTGTGGGTGGTGGTCAGCCTCGTCTGCAGCCTCGTCGTCGTCTCCGAGAGCCAATCAGCATGCTCTGCTGATGACGACTTGTACAATGGGCCGTTGTCAATTCTGAGCAAAGACTCGATTGTATACACTCGTAATTTATCTAATCCCGATTTAGACCTGAGGTGAAGCCTGTCATCTTGTTCCGTCGTTCTAGCACAGCCGAGCGACAAGAAAAGGAAGAAACCTCGCGTCCGTGCAGCTGCAAGACGCCTGCCTGATTGGCTGCCTTGTGGTTTGTGAGATGTTTTCGGAAGAGGCCTCAAAGACACTCAAGTTGAATTGTACAAAATTTATTCATTTTTCCCATGGCTCTCATCGCCTTGTCCATCGACTTAGCTGTACTTTTCCCTTGTACACACACGCACACACACACACAGGCAGGCAGGCAGAAAGAGACAGACAGAGTGCAAATATACAGCCATGCAACAACGCAATGAAATGACATTAGAATCTGAAAGCTAGACGGCTTCCATGCATGCTTAATGATTTGGGTATCCGCATGGGGTTGCCCCCCTTCAAAGCAGTCCTTGCAAAAACGACCATCGATTCAACTGGACCCCCTTGATCATCATCAGGGTCCATTTTCCATGATAAAAAAAAATCGTGACCAAAAGAAAACAACAACAAACGATAACAGTTGCCAAACCTCACTGCTGTAAATGGGCAAGGCTCTCTTGTACCTGTTATACTTGCCACCAAATCAATAGAAATACACAATAGCCTCATAATCATAAACCAAAGACAGTTACCCAGTCTATCCTCTCATGGAAATCTGCTGCGGACTTCAAAACTCGGACCGCCGACTTGCCCTCTAGGCTCGCCGGTTCATGGCCGCAGACGCACCTGCGGCAGCCAGGTCGGGCTTTCCACTGGCCGAGCGAGCTGTGATTCGGGGCAGCCCGCTAGAGGATGTCACGCTACCTGGTCCTGCGCTGGTACGTCGGTTGAGGCTCGCCGCCGTAGCACCCGTCGCCCCAGAAATCCGTCTCGATGCCCCGTTTAGAGGCATCGCACCTTTGGTCGGACTCGGTACAGTTCGCAGCGTCCCCAGACTCTTGGGGGGATCCGGCAGAGGCCTCGACATGGTAATGGTGTTATTTCGTTTCACTGGCGACGACTCTCTTGTCGGCATGCGCGGCACAGGCGCCATTTTTTGACACGTAATGAACTCGTGGCATAAAGCATCCTCGGGCTTCAGACGACGGTCGGGATCCCAGCGAAGGCAGCGAGCCAAAAAATCGACAAACGCTTCATCGTCACACTTGAGTGCCTGCTGCAGCGTCTTGGATGACGGACGTCTTCTGCGACCCTTGGAAGATACTGTCAAGCGAGGCTTGCCCATCGAGTCAAAAAATAGCTTTTTGCGGGTGCTCTTCTCAATTAGATGCTTCTCCGGTGGTCCAAACACTTCCATAATGCAAGCAAGTTGCTCCTGCTCATTCTCGCCAGGAAAAATGGGCACACCAGTGTAGAGCTCAGCCAGGATGCAGCCAACACTCCACATGTCGATTGGCAGGCCATACGTCATCCCCAATATCACCTCAGGCGATCGATAGAAACGAGATTGGATATAGGTATATACCTTTTCATTTTCGAAGCAGCTCGAGCCAAAGTCAATTACCTTGAGGTCGGGACGCATAGGGTGCTTGAGCAGAATGTTCTCTGGCTTCAAGTCGCAGTGAATAATCTTGCGCTGCTTGAGCAGTATCAAAGAGCTGAGAATCTGCTTGGTGAAACGTCGAATAATGGTGAGAGAAAAGCCGCGGAATGAATGTGCCTTGATGAACTCGTACAGGTTCATATCGAGTAGCTCAGTCGAGATGCAGAGATGCCCACGAAAGTAGAAGCTTTGCGTGAAGGTAACCATGCTGTGTTTATCCTGAGGATCCTGTTGCATTCAGTCAGTCCAAATCACAAAGAATGGGAGTATAGGAGCGTACCCATTCGCGAAGCTTTTGCAGAATATTGACTTCTACAAGAGCTTGCTGATGGAAGCGCTTCTTGTTGCGGATCATCTTGATAGCGACCAGCTTTCCGAGCTTGTGGTCAATGCATCGCAGTACCTGTCCAAAACTACCCTTTCCGAGGACGTCTACAATCTCGTAGCGGTATGCCAGGTGGTCTCCAGCAATAATGGTGTAGTCGCCGCGTTCATCGTCATAGCCAAAATTGGGGGCAGATGCTTGCAAATCGCCCACCACTTTACGAGCACTTTGAGTGCCGCAAAAGTAGACATCGTTATAGTCGATAATCTCGCCTCGTTCGTAGATGTTGAGCATAGCGATGCGAATGGCTTCTTGAGGACCCACACGCTCCTTTGGCGTTGCCCTCTTTTTGAGAGCATCCAGAGTTCGGGCGGCAATATCTGTCTCCTTGCGTCGGGCGCTGATCTTGCGCATCTCAGCATTGGCCTCTAAATCATATTGATCAAGATCGTCCGCGGTGTAGGAACTAGTCTGTCGCAGGGTCGTCGATGAGCTCTTTGATTTTATATTCTTGTGCGTCGAGTGTACGATTCGGCTGAGGGGCTTCAAGGCCGAGTAGTCGGGTTCGTTGCGGTTACCCCATGAATCACTTTTAGAGTGCGGTAGCATTGTCTGGCTTGGAGCAGAGCTCTTTCGTATTCGCTGCTCATTGTTAGTGCTCGTGGTGGCCAATACTGTTGGGCTCCGTGTCTTGACATTGTGTAAGTTGCTGGCAGTTGCTGAGGCGGGTAAGCGGGGAACTGTCTCCTTGGGGGATCTGTCGCCAGTATCATCTGTATCGCCGTGGTTCTTAGATGCACTGCGTTTCCAAGAAAGGCTAAGTTTGCGTCGAAGTGAGCTCATGGACGAAGGCGTTGCGGGCTCATCAGGAGTCGGCGGTGGACCTGGAGATTTTGGTACATGCTTGGCGGTGTCGATTGATTTGCTAACCGACTTCTTGGAAAAGCGGCCTTCGGTAAGGTTACCCGTGACGGTTACATTATCGCCACTAGCTTTGGATCGCTTTTGGCCGTTGAAGTCATATCCAGTCTTGGGAAGGGATGATGACAGAAAAGGCGAAATGCTATACTTGCTGTTGGGTTCTTGAATGATTATCGACGACGAATCGGAGGAGGCAGCATCTGGAGGAGACACATTCTTTCGGTGACTATGATGCACGGTGCTGCTGCTTCTCAAGGCGGGCAACTCCATGGTATCGTCATATCGGTTCTGAAAGAAGGAGCTTTTGGAGGCGGTCATTGGAGTTGTCGGCGTTTTGGGAACCTGTCGAGTGACTGGTGGGCTAGATCGAGGCTCTTTCTGAGGCTGATCCCGCAATGCTGCCACTTTGGCCGCGGTTGGAATGCTGAGGGGAGCAAGATTTAGAGCGGGGAGTGTCAAAGGCTGCAAATGCTTCCTGGATTGGCTGGTCTGCTTCTCATCTTGGCTAGATGTAGCAATTGAGCTCTTCCTCGCGCTGGGACGACGCTTGGGTTTTGCAGGCTCAGGTAGAGATGGTAGTGAGATACTACCAGTTGAGTTGCTGTGTATGCTCAGAGTTTCCACGGAGCTGAGAGCGGATCGCTTCTTGTCCAAAAAGTATGGGCCAGCAGGTGCGTTGTCCTTTGGTGACTCGTAAACCTTGGGAATGGCGGGCACAGGGGGAACATCCTCGTCTTCCTCATTTTGCCCAGAACTACTCTGGGAGTTGATGGCATTTTTGGGTGCTGGCAGTCGCGAGTTAGTAGCCGGAACCTGGTTGCGTGGCTGCGTTGAGCTAGTCGATGATTGTTGGGCGAAGGAGAAGCTGCCGGTGGAGCCAACGGAGAGACCAGAAGTGTGAGATTTTCGGCTGTGATCCGGAGTTGTACGAGCCGAGGATGGCGTGAGAGACGGCTTTCTCGGATTAAGCGAAGGCGACTTTGAGGTAGATCTGTTGTCCATGGACACTGGGGGTGGAGGCGGCATGGTACTGGATTGGCTCATTGGTTGCGGCGGCATCATGGACATGCGCTTCATACGGCGGGTGTCAGTTGGGCTGATGGTCCTTGCTCCCAAACCACTGGCATGCGAAGAGTGGCCTGTACCAGGCATCATAGAGGTTCTCTTGTTTCCGGTTGAAGGCGCGGCAAGGCCGCCGCGATTATTGATATTGAGACGTGGCGAGCGAGTGGCCAAAGACAGACGGTTCGACTCTACGCCATAAGCGCTTAGGCTAGGCTGGGCAGCTCGCGGGGGAGGCTGCACAGATCTGGCTTTGGCGGCTCGGGATGGATTGAAAGGCCCGGCTGAATCTGGACCATCGATTGAGGTCCAGGTTGAATCCGAACAGCCACGGTCAGAGACAATGCTCGGCCGACGGCGCTGGGCACTGGAGTATGCATCGCACTCAACCAAAATGCCAGGACCTACCGACTTGCGAGGCGGCTTCGCGGTTGTGTTGGCATTCGAAACCGGGGGGTACTGGCTCTGACGACGCGAACGGACCGGGGCAGGCGCGGTGAGGCTGTCCCCCGAGGCTGACCATGAAGAGGCAATTGACGAGGTGCTAGGTTGCCGGCTTGAGGTGGTTGGTCTGCCTATTATGGAAGTGGAGCGTGCAGCGCGTGTGGCGGTCGCGGTTGTCACTGATGGAATGTAGCCTCGATTGCTGATGTCGGCGGTGTGCGCGGAGCTCATCCTGTCAGAGGACTCGACGGCGGCCCTGGCCTTGGGGTCTAGGATGCTACCAGCCCCGGTAGGAGAGGGAAACTGGGTGAGCTTGAAATCGGTGGATGCGGATTCGATACTAGCATGGAGGTCGTCGAAGTTGACAGAGGGAAGAAAGTCGTATGAGTTCGAGGCCTGGCGTGCAGCATCGCCATTTCGATTGAACGAAAAGTGCGACTGGTTGGGGGCGCTAAGCATGGGTGCGTTTGACACGGCCTTGATGCCGGTGGCGGAGGTGGACAGGGAGACACTGGATGTAGATTGAGGACTAAAATGGCAGTGTTGTTAGTTGCAGGCGTGCATAAAAGGAGTGTCATTCATTGTGTAATGGCGTACAGTCTGGTGGGAGAGGATTCCGTGCCTCGAGACCCAGTTGTCCGACTTCCTCTCAATGTCATAGAGCCGACAGCAAGGCCAAGGAGGATGCGAGCAAAAAAAAAAAAAAACACGGCCGAGGGCGAATTGATGCTCACGAAGAGCCAATGTCGAGGGGGCCTCAGTCCGATTGGGAAGCTGAGTGCATCCGAAAGGCTACCTCATCCCGAAGCTGATGGGGTTGCGAGGGCAGGCAAAGATGGAAAGAAAGGAGGCGTGATTGCAGGCCAAGGCGTGCCGACGAAAACGAAGAGGAAGAGGAAGAAGCGGAAAAGAAAAAAAAAACTCGGCAGTTGACAGCAGCGGGCAGGGAGTAGTCAGGAAGCTACCTCTGGGAGGGGATTCGCAGAGGGAGCGAGTCGAGCTTGGGGTTGGAGAGTGAAAAAAAGATAGGAGTGAGGCAGAGGCAGCGTTTCAAGGCCAGTTCTTGGTTGTTTTTTCGAGATGAGGGATGCGGAGGTTGAGACCCACTAGAGGGGGGCCCTTGGACAGTTGACGGGAGCAGCGCAGCACCACTGTGATGGTAGGAATGTGGGATAAGTAATGAAAAATGTGACCCCTTGATTCTTAAAATCGAGAATAAACTCGATTTCACCCTGAGTATAATTTTACATTTATTCTTTTTCAAGCAGAGTGCACAGGATCGCGACATGAGCGTTTGTATCTATCTCTGGTGGTGCATGGCTGTCATCCTGTCACTCGCATGAGTATTGCAGGATGCGCTAGCGGGCTGACCCCGGGCCAGGCAGGCGGTCAGGGACTCGGGCCAAACAGCGGCCTTTTTCTTTATTTATTTACCCAACGTGCCTGGCAACTTGTAATTTGTCCTCGATCATTGGCGTATTTGTTTGCTTGCCTGGTCTTGGTCACTTTTGGCAGCATCGTCACACATTGCTGCTCGGAATGGTTACCTGTATCTGCCCACTCAACTCTGTCATGCTTGCAGGTACTGTCTACTTGGCGGGGCATCCTTTCTTCACCCACGGCCCGGCGCGAGGCGGCACAGACCCTTGGTACAAGTACAAGTTGTTTAGGTAAGCAGCTACCGTTTTCGTCTTCTAGTGCAGGACAACTCATTTAACTAACTAAATAACCGGACACAAGATGAAGAAAAAGGGGAGAAAGGGAGACATAATATCCGGCACCTAACTAGCACTGTGCCATCAAAGCATAATCAGGAGAGGCGTCCACAAGGCCCCAAAGTCCCCCAATCGCCGCTGTTACCGGCCAGCCACCACTGCGCCGCCAAACCTCCAGCCCGCTAAAACCTGCAGGGCAGCAAGGCAGCAACTTGACAAGGCAGCGAAAAGGGACCTCTGTTTGTCACGACTCACAACTCACAACATTGCCGCCAACACCAGGTACAGGCAATTTGTGCCATCGCAATCGCGAGTTGAGGGCCGGTGTCGATCCATCACCCACAAGGCAAGACGAGTGTTTCCCTGAATAATCCAAACAATTTCAAGAAAAAACAGTACGCCGACACGCGATTCGTCGTCCCCCATGTGGCGCGCCACCAATTCAGCCCCGGAAAAAGGAGCCATCTCAGGGGAGCCTGTCAACATGCATTGCCGTGATTGGTACAGATCAGACCGGATTGATTGGTTTCGTATTGCCTGATCCGCAGAGCCAGCCTACCAGTACTATTAACATGGGGCTCAAGAAACCATACTTGTCATACTTCTCCTTCATTGAGATATCCCAAATCTTTTTTTCCTTCATCGATGCTACCGCCTTACCGCCTCAGGATAAGTAGACCACTCCCTAATATGGATTATACTTGATCCCCTTTAATAACTCCAGCTGCGAAACCTCTAGCCAAGGATGGCAAACCATGTTTACGGTGCGGCCACTGTGTCGCGATAGTCGCGTACATGAAGCGGGCCTTGCATCCACACTCGATATGTTATCCTTGCTTGCGTTATTTTGCATTTCCTTTTCTGCTAACCTGCCAAAAACTCATTCACGCTACTCATTGATATCATGACTTGCATCAATGAAACATGGCTTATTACACCCTTTTTGTCGATTTCCGCTACAGAATCCGGCTTTAGCAGATCGACCATCGGATTATGCACAGAATAAAGATGATCATCCAAAGCTCGATCATTGTGTTACGTCACTTTTTGGACCCAAAACTCGGGTTCCCTTTACCAATACAATCATAAATGAAAGGCCGAGACACGAGACACGACGGAACTTTGATCGAATAAGCTAGTCTCACTAATATGAGGTTCAGTTATACCCTACATTGAGCATCATCAAGCGGTCAATAATGAGTGTCCTCAGCAAAATGACGTAAAGACTGTCCAAACAACCAGCTGTCTGACAAGCCGAATCCTTTCAACTGTCGTCACTCTCAAACAAACAATCCACAGTTGTGAGGATACGCGCGGCCTGAAAAGTCATTCCGTCGCTGCTCAAACGGCTGGCTCGGCGTCTTGATGGTCAAGTTAAACGCCGACGGGCCCTGCCAGTTTCCTGTCACGCTTCGCAGCGGGTACCAGGCGCCCGCGACCAAGTCCACCTCGGCGCACTTGAGCCCGTTGATGTAGTTGCCGCCCGTCGACACCACCAGAGGCGTGACGCTCGTATCCACGGCGCCGTTGACGCAGCTAAACGCATTCCCGTGCCCGAAGAAGACGTCGTTTTCATTATCGGCTGTCGTGCACAGCGAGTGGCGGCCCGTCTCGGCGGCGCGGTAGAATCCCGAGTAGACGAGCGTGAAGTTGTTGGCGTCGACGTTGATTCCGCCGTTGGTGAGCTTTTTCCAGCCCACGGCGTACCAGGCCGTGGGGAATTGGGCGTTCGGGTACACCTTGGGGAAGGACGCGGGCGGGCCGAAGTCTTGCGGGAAAAAGGCGACGTTGGTGAGGGACGAGGCGAGCGGGCGCAGGCGCTGCGTGATGTAGTAGGACCAGGGCAAGCTACCTTGGCGGCTGTATCCGGCAAAGGGGTTGGAGTAGTAGTCAATGTTGAGGCCGGCGGCGGAGCAGCCGGGTTTGATGATGGAGCATGGGCCGCCGGGTGTTGGTGTTGGGATGGGGCGGGTGGTGGTGGTGGAAGATGAAGTCGTGGTTCTGGTAGATGAGGTGGTCCTGGTAGATGACGAGGTGGTGGTCTTGGTAGATGACGAGGTGGTGGTCCTGGTGGATGAGGATGTGGTGGTCCTGGTGGATGAGGAAGTGGTGGTCCTGGTGGACGAGGAAGTGGTGGTCCTGGTGGATGACGAGGTGGTGGTTCTAGTAGATGACGAGGTGGTAGTCCTGGTAGACGAGGAAGTGGTGGTTTTAGTAGATGATGAGGTGGTGGTTCTGGTAGATGTTGAAGTGGTAGGGTGGAAGTGCTGGTCCTGGTAGAGGTTGAAGTGGTGGTTCTGGTAGTTGTTGGAGTGGTGGTTCTGGTAGTTGTTGGAGTGGTGGTTCTGGTAGAGGTTGAAGTAGTGGTTCTGGTAGTTGTTGGAGTGGTGGTTCTGGTAGAGGTTGTGGTAGGAGTGGAAGTAGTGGTCCTAGTGGTGGTTGAAGTGGTAGGAGTGGAAGTGGTGGTCCTGGTCGAGGTTGAAGAGGTTGTCCTGGTAGAGGTTGAAGTGGTGGTCCTGGTCGAGGTTGAAGTGGTGGTCCTGGTAGAGGTTGAAGTGGTGGTAGAGCAAGGTGCAGTCACCAAGGGAGTCTCAACAACGACTGTCGTAACGCCGCAATGGGTAATGACAGTCGAAGTCGTGGTTCTTCCAAGGTAGGGAATGGTGATGGTAGTTCGGGATGGGAGCACGCGGTCTTCATCCTGGCGGGCATTGATACCAGGGTTTAGACGCAAGTCCAACGCCACAGCGTGAAAGCATGTAGCTGCAAAGGCGAGTGCCTTGAAAAGGTTGATTGGGGCCATGTTTGAACAATGTCTGAGATGTGCTGTGAGTCTGTGATGAAGATGGGATGTGCAGCTTGAACGGACTGGCGTTGGGCTTTTATACTTTGTTGAAGAAGAAGGCATCTGCATCCAGCTGTAGATCCATAGCTTCTTTCAGAAGTGATTAGCTTAATGTGATTAAAAGTAAAGTATTGCAGTTAATTTAGGTATCCGCGGTGCACTTGAGGCATCTAGACTTCAGCTCTCATGCATGCACGGTGTCGACGTGTAAGACATATTAGCTGAAAGAAGCCACCGGAGAATGTTTTCCATTGTTGTAAGCAGCCAGCTACCCGAGGATTGGTCAAAATTGAGCTGAAAGCCTGAATGATAACTCTGAGTTTGCTTTCAGCATTCAGCAATTGCCAATACTATATAGTGTGGCGTACAAGCTGTGCAGCAGTTTTTAAAAGGTACGGTGCAGAATCAAGGCAGTCCGACTTATCAATGCGCCAGACAAGAGAGGGGAAGTGAAAGAGTCATGGTGGAAACTAAAGAGAAACGTCTAATGCGTTGTCATTGACTGAAATTCACGCATATTCTCAAACCATCTTTATAGCCCGTTTTTTATACTGTTTTTCTTATTGTTTAGAGACTTGCAGGCAAAACCGCAGCAAAACCGCACGGCACACGGCGCAATGCTCCCAATGCTCGAACTTGCCCCACCGACTCTGGGATACTCGATACAGCGGGCCATTGGCCGCCTCGGCATGTCGGTATAACGTCACATGCGCTAGCCCGTTGCAATCAACCTTCTTCATCACTCAAACTCAGCTATGCGCATGCATCTCTCTACGTGAAACGCGCAGATAATGTCCGATATTAAAAATGAGGATTCGGCCGCCGCCGCCACCGACGAGGCTACGCCCACCCAGCGATACGGTCTGTTTGGTGGGCTCGCAGCGCTCCGCGAAAGAGCCAGCATCCAGGACCGCCTCGTCGAAAGGTACCGTAGCCTCCCCCTCCTCCCCCCTCTCCCCCCTTCACTGCTCCCCCTTCACTGCTCATTACCTTTGCTGATGACGTGAATGACTGCCAGACTTCTCGCCCAAGTTATGCCCGCCGAGGACGGCGAGGTCAGCTTTACGCTCGACGAGGATGTGGCCAGCGCCCACCGCGCGCCCGAGTTCAGCCTCGGCACCATGTCTTACAACTTTCGACGCTTCAACGCCCGCGCCGGCGTGCTCTTCCAGCTGCAGGACCTGACCGAGTCGCTGCTCGAGTGGCAGCACCCCACGCAGACGCTCTCCCTGCTGGCCGTCTACACCCTCCTCTGCCTCGACCCGCCCCTGGTCGTGGCGCTGCCGCTCGCGCTGCTCGTCCTCGGCGTGCTGGTCCCGGCCTTTCTGGCGCGGCACCCGGCGCCCCCGCGCGGCACCTTGTCCAGCGACCAGAGCGTCGGTTACTCGGCGGCGGGACCCCCGCTCGCGCCGCCCGTGACGGTCGCGCCCGTCCGCGAGCTCAGCCGCGACTTTGTCAAGAACATGCGGCGGCTGCAGAACCAGATGGGTGCCTTTGTGCACGCGCACGACTTGGTGGTGGAAAAGGTGCTGCCGCTGACAAATTTCAGCGACGAGGCGCTGTCGTCGACGGTGTTTCTCGGTGCCGTCGCCGGCGTCTTTGTGACGATGACGACGGCGCACCTGATTCCGTGGCGCTTCGTCTTTCTGGCTGGCGGCTGGGCGCACATTTGTTCCACGAACCCGTATGTGGTGCAGTTTGTCGCGGATATCAAGGCGGGCAAGTTTGGCGAGCTCGCGGCGGCGGCGGGCATGCAGCAGGTGGCGGCCGAGGCGGCGCGCGACGGCGGGGACAAGGCCAAGTCGTTTGCGGATCGCTGGATTGCGTCCGACATTCTGCTCGACTCGGCGCCCGAGACGCGCGAGGTTGAGATTTTTGAGCTCCAGCGCAAGACGGGCCCCGGCGAGTGGGAGCCGTGGGTCTTTTGCCCCTCGCCGTACGACCCGCTGTCGGCGGCGCGCATCTCCGGCGACCGGCCCCGCGGCACGCGCTTCTTCGAGGATGTGGCGCCGCCCGAGGGCTGGGAGTGGAGCGAGAAGAAGTGGGCGCTGGATCTTTGGAGCCGCGAGTGGGTGGAGGAGCGCATCATCACGAGCGTCGAGGTCGAGACCGAGGGCGAGCGCTGGGTCTACGACATGTACGATGGCGATGAGGAGGAGGAAGACGTGCTGCGGCGCTCACGTGTGGTGGAGCATCCGGATGTGAAGGCGGCTAGGAACGTCTCGCACACGAGCTGGGAAGAGGGCGAGGATGGGACGGGCCTCAAGGGCGAGTGGAGGAGGAGACGCTGGGTGAGGTTGGTGAAGCGCAAGGTCAGCCAGGTCGAGTATTCGTGAGGAGCGGGCGTTTGTGTTGGTAGACTGTGCATGTACAATGAACACAATGACTAATGATGAAAGATTTCTGGGTGTTGTAATTAGAAAATGACTAATTCCTCTATATAGGAATGGAAATGTCGTGGTATATGTGTTGAGAGTAAATGCCCGCTACATGTCCCCAACCCCGTGTCTGTTTAACGACTCGACACGTATTAACCCGGCACACGTGAAATACACGTATCAATACCCGGACGAATATTTCAAGTACCCATAGCTACACCCCCCTTTACTCATTAATCACCATCTTGTCCAGAATCGCCAAGATGCCGGCTTGCTTGCCGCGGCCATTGTCCAGCTCCAGCGTCAACTTCTTGGCGCGCTCGATTAGCGTCGCGAGCACCTTGTGGGTGTAGGCGAAACTGCCCGTGCCTTCCATGTAGGCGACGGCATAGCGCTTGACTTGGATGTCGGCCGTCTTTTGCTTGAGTATGTTGACGAGCTGCAGGTCGTCTGGGCGGGCCCTAATGCTATGGATGACGGGGAACGAAAACTTGCCCTCGGTTAGGTCCTCGCACATGCCCTTGTGCTGCGAGTACTCGTCGGATTTCAGGTTGATGTAGTCGTCGCGGATCTGGAAGATGAGGCCGATGAGGTTGACGAGTGGCACGCAGTCGAGCGGCGGGCTGACGGACGACTCGGCCTGCATGAGCTTGATACCGAGGCGGAAGAGGCCGCCCGTCTTGTTGCCAACCATTTCGAGGTAGTCGTCCTCAGAGGGACACGTGAGCGTGTCGCGCCAAAAGAGTTCCATGCCCTGCCCGCGATGTAGGTTGACGAGCTCCTCGGTAAACGTCGCCAGCGCCTGCTGGTTGTTGAGCGTTAGCAGCTCCTGCAGCGCGGCAAAGTAAATGTAGTTGGCCGAGTTGATGGTCTGCGCGACGCCAAAGATGTGGTGCGCGACGGGGAAGCCGCGGCGCAGCTCCGAGCTGTCCTGGACGTCGTCGACGAGCAGCGACGCCTCGTGCAGCATGCCGACGACGCGGGTGATGACGTCGAGGCTCGCGGGCGGCACTTGCAGCCACGCGTCAAAGGCGGCAATCAGCTGCGAGCGAATGTCCTTGCCCGGGTGGCTGATGGTGTAAGCAAAGGGCCCGCGGATGATGCGCTCCTTGTCGGCGGTCCAGGAGCGCTGCGACGTAAAGTTGAGATTATCAGTGGCGTAGCGTGAAGGGTCTGAGGGCGCCGTGGGGGAGAGCTGGTGCTGCATCATGGCGGCGCTCTGCCGCGGAGGAGGAGAACAAGGATGAGTAGGAGACGACGACTTGAGCGACGCAGCGCTGAGAGCAGAAGGCCGTCGGTGGTGGTGGACGTGCTGGCTACTGCTTTCAGGCAGTCCCGGGGAGCGCGGCGACGGCATGGGCGAGACGGCTATGGAGGACAGGGTGGAGGTGGGCGGCTGAGGTGGCGATTGTGACCGTGGCGGCGGCTGCCCCTGAGTGGGTGAGGCCCGCGAGCTGGCGTTGCTAGAAGTGCGAGGGGGAATCGCCGAGGGCAGCGAGAGAGGGTTGGATGATGTGCGCGCTCTGGGTGAAATCGTCGTCGTCGTCTGTGTGGAATGGTGAGTGGCGGTGGTTGTATGGTCTGCCGATTCCACAGCGGCAATCTTTGTCGGACCCATTTTCACAAAATGGGAGGTGGGGGGAAACGTTGCAGATATATGCTTGAATTTGAATGATATTTTTGAGACGAAAAGCTGTTTCTGTTTCTGTTTCTGGAGAAGGGGAAAACGCAAAAGACGATTGAGTTTCCAGGCACTTCGGAGCGGTCCCACAATGCAGGCAGCCAACTAGAGACATCAGTTCGTCTTGGCGCCGCGCCGGACAATGGAGAACCGGGCCGAGACAAGTGACGTGGGTTTTCAGAATAATAACTACGGATAGACGAGTGGTGCCAGTTAGTTACCGATCGGATGTCTCGGCAAAGAGCGGAAAGTAGAAAGATTTTTTGAATAGTCTAGGGGACGAGCTCAGACTTGGTCGAATAAACCTCAACCTTAGTCGAAGTAGGGCAAAAAAATAGCAGAAAAATGATAATATTCTATTTACCTTATATTGAATTCAATAATTTTAAATATAATATAGTCTTAGTTAAAGCCTAATAATTAATAGATATATATAACTATATCTTTAATAGAATATAACTTAATATATATTATAAGTAATTAACTAGATAATTATATATATAGTAGATAATATTATAAGCTTTTTATAGTTTTCTTAATTATTATAGCTATTTCTTAGAGTTAACTTTAATTATTTGATTATTATTTTTTAAAGAGTATTCTTAATATAAAAAGTCGTAAGGCTTTTTTATTATTAATAATATTAAACTTTAAATAAGCCTTAGTATTAAACCTATAATTAGCTAGTTCTAACTAAGTAAGTATATATACTATATATATACTATATATAGCCTATATATAACTATAAATAGCTAGAATCTAGCTAGTACTAGCTAGTAAGAATTAAGCTTCTTTAACTATATTACTATTACTTTCTTAGGCGTAATACTTAGCTTAAATAAATATTTTTTTTAATTTTCTTTAATACCTCTATAGCTGTCTTATGCTGCTTCGTTTATAGTATTAAGGTTAATATATTAGTTAATTGGTGGATTTCGTGGATTAATTTATTACCTTGAAGGGTTAATGAACCTGAAAAACAGCGAGCATGTTAAATACCTATATATATCTTCTGACCTTTAAATGAAAGTGCTACTTGATATTATACTACTCGGAGAGTATTGGCCGGAGTTGCTCCCTAGACTAAAGAATATATCTATAAATAGGAATGTGAGCTGATGGGATAGTCTTAGAGGAAGACTATAAGTGATGCTTTATTTTTGGGATTCTTATTTATGCTAGACTTTCTATAAACAGCATCTCTAACACTACTAAGGGGGGAATAAGGAAAAAACGGCCCTTGTTGATTATTAATACTATCCTATTAATCATAATTATATATAGGAGCCTAGAGAGTTAATTGCGACTGACTACTACGACTTAGTGGCGAGAACGTACCCGGCTTTGCGATTACCACTAAGAATACCGAGAATAAGATACTCTGGTCGCTTAGTTAAATTATTGAGGTAGTATTGACGTTTCTTCTCACTTACTAGCAAGATTAAGCTTCGAGTCCTTACTAATATTAGCTTTGTTGAACATTGCTTGAACGCTCTTATAGGTATCGTTGTCCTTTGTCTTCGTAAACTCTAATAATTCAGTAACTGTAAGACGTCCTAGAACTTAGTTAGTATTATTAATACATTAACACATCTAATAATAACAAGATAGTACTTACCATCTAAGTCCGTATCCTAGTTAAAGTGGAGATGTTAATAAATTATCTTTTAACTGTTATATACTTTTTCTTGTGGTTAATAATCCTCACTTACCGCAGCAAAGAAGATAGCTAAAACTACGCGAATAACATTACCGTGGTACCAAATATTCTATTATACTCGTTAATGAACTAGAGCAAATCAGCCTGCTAGTAAAGGATTTCTTTCTAACCTTAGGATCTTCTTTTAGCAATTCTGTAAGACAGGCTTTTCTAAGCTCATTGTTTTCAGCGCGTTCCTTTCTTTTCAGGTCCTCTTGGAGCGCCTCTTGCCCTAGTCGCATAAGAGCTTCTGCTTGTGCTGAGCTATACATCTTGAATTGTAAAGGTATATGAGGTTCTCACGAAGTAGAAGATAGAGTAACACAGAGAGTACTTCTGATAAAAGGTTAGAAGAACGATAAAAGGTTAAAATTATCCGCTTCTTTATATATAGGAAATTAGCTGCCTTTATATAGATAAGGACTAGACGGTCTCTTTAGATCTAGACCAATATTAGTGATGTAATCTATTCTAGCTGCAAACAGCTTAAGTTTGTTGATAGTAAATTAGGTATAATACTTAGCTATAACTAAACTATTATTAGTTTAGTTAAGGTAAAAATAGGTATATTGGAATGAGGATTCCGTAAACATGACTTCAATACTTACCCTTATAGTATAGTACTAAAAGTAGACACTAGTAGGCTAAGTGTCAAGTAGTAAGAGAGGATAAAGGAGTTACCTAAACGAACTTAGAGAATTCGGAGAAGGTACTAAATACATAAAGTTTCACTTACTATACTATAATACTATCTAGGCTTAGCTAGCCACACACTCCACTTATAGAGTAGATGCGGTGATGCTGTCGTCATCATTTAATGCCTGCCCGCGTATAATGGCAGTGCGAATAAAAATTACCTAGAGATTTGACTACTTTGGAAGAAAGGCACAATCATCCTAAAGTAGGCACTTGAATTCACACAACCACACTACTCTTCTAGTCCCGACGATCCTCCGATCGAATTCGTCATTTCTCAGCTTCGTTCCAGAGATCCAACTAATCTTCTAATTAGATCTCAGCCTTATCAGTCGTCTGCCCCTTATTGCCATTTGGCGCGCTCCAGCTCTGTGCGAGGCGCAGCATAGCCATAATCATCTTCTCCGAGATCAGGCCTTCGTCCTTGTATGGCAGGTACTCTTCCCCCATAGGAAGACTGCGAGCAATCTCTTCACTTAGCCCAGTAATTGCCGCAAGCAAAGGGGCAGAATCCCGGCCCAGAAGAGGGGGAATGTCTGGGCCGCTGGCTCCGCTTCCTTTGCGCTCCTCAACTATCTTTCCAAACTTCAGTGCGATGAGGAGACGAAGGGGCCGAGCATCCTTGATTTCCGACTTCCATGGGTTGTGAAGCTGGTCCTCCTTGATGTAACCATGCAGAAGCTTGGTCACCTCAAGCGTGTGGAAAAGCGAGAGGAAGTTGATGTGGTCTTCAGATAGCTTCATGGGCGCTTTCTGGTCGCGCAGATAGTCCCGCGGAGAGAGAACACCAGGATCCAACCCCTTCAGACCCTTTGACTGTCCGAGGATGTAAGCGAGAGAAAACGTTTTCGGTAGGGGTAGTGGTGCGTTCTTCACATGAGCTGCGATGATCCGCAGCTTTGACTGGACCGGCCCCAAGTTGCCAGGTTTTTCTCCAGGGTAGGCAGGAAACCTATTGAATCTGTCAGGCTGGTAATAGGTGCGAGCCATCTGGATAGATGCGATATTCTTGACATAGTCGTCATTGAATGCCTCACCCAGTGGCTTCAGAGACGCCTTGCTCTGGTCTCTTAGCGCATCTGGCAGCCCCAACAGATAGTCACGCTGACTACGGAGAGTATCATTCCACATGATAGCTCGAATTCCCTCAACGACTTCAACGGAACCCTTTTCAATTTCGGCTTTTTCCGCGTCGTCCTTGCTCGCTTTCAACGACTTCTGTGCAACGGCCTTTGCGGCACCAATCTTCTGAGCGCCTTCCGAGACAACAGCAAGTCCCCGAATGTTCAAAGTGCTGCTCAGCTTGGCCCGGAATGTCTTTTCCTTGGAGTTGGATGGCTCCTTGCTGTCGGAATAGATGTACGTGTAAATGTGATCGGCAAGGAACTTTTCCCATTGACTGTCGCGATGCTGCACAAAGACTTCCTTCTCTGGCACCGTGGGAGGCTTTGCGAGACTGATAAACCACCGGATGATATGAACAGCAATGCCGAGAGGAGCCAGGGGGGTCATTAGTAGTCCGTCACCAACATAACACAGGGCCGTATCCTGATGGTCCACCTCGCCCTTCCAAGTCTGAGCAGCAAGGTTTGTTGTGCATCCAACAAAAGGCACAATCGATGTCACGGCTGCCGCCTTGTCCAAGAGATTCACATCATGTTCAAAGGCATCAACCATGCCCTTGATCCAGACGCCGACAGTAACAACACCAAGAGCCGCATTGGCACCACCTGCGGCTACCTTGCCAGGGCGAACCTTGAAGCTTGGTGACTTTGGGTCCAGTGGCTTATAGCCTAGTACTTTGGTCCGAATGTCCTTGATTGAAAGGGTCAGTGTTTCAGTTACCGATTTGATCATTCCTTTTGTGGTTGCGAAGCTGATAAACTCATCGTCAGAGAATTTCTCGGCGAGCGCTACCGATTCAGGGCTCTCGGGTGCTACTGCGCCGTCCCCTGGTTCCGGGCCGGCCTGCTCAGGTGGTGGCGCCTCTCCTTCAGAAGATGGACTCTCAATTTCTTTACCTGGCGTGGCTGGCGAATCGTCCCCTTCGGAACCGGCTAGCTTGTCCTCGACTTCACTCTCAACATCGCCCGGAACACAGTCTCTTTTTGGGATGGGGGCTACGCCACATGCCGCCGGTTTCTCAAAGACTTTTTTCCCAGATGCGTCTTCAATATACTTGAATTCATTGCCGTCATAGACAACATAGAAGACATCCTTGGAAGTTCCTGAGCAGTAGCAAGGGGATTAGCAAAAACCGTTCATCCAGGCAATAGAGATGATGTATCATGCACTGCAACTTACCACTCACTGCCGAGACCTTGGACTTCCAAAGCTTTCCCACCTTTTCCCTTGACTGACTCTGCATGGCCGCCGCAATGTCCTTACGAGCGTAGTGCAGTCCATTATCGCCAGTGACTCTGTCGCCCTTGACTCCAAGCTTGAGCCATTTTCCCTCCTTTGTGAGCGCCTTGACATCCCAAACGGATTTGACATTGTTCTCTGCAGCATGTTCTGTAATACCAACAAGTTTTTTATTACCGGATGAGACAATGGCCCGAAACTTTCCTCGCGAAGATGCTGCGGTTCGTATTAGCTTTGTCAACGCGAGGACAGACTCCGAGTTTGGCACGAGTGGCCCAACTACTTACATTTGGTCAAGTCAATCTCCGTCAGTTTCCCTCCACCTTCGAACAATGGGTCCTTGGGTACCCATTTGTTGCCTTTCCACTCAACTCCATGGTTCTTAAAAGGCTTTCCTGCATTGTTTTTAATGGCGTCGAGGATTTCTGCGCGTGTCCACTCTACACCATCAAGAGTAATAGTCAAGGGAACTCTTGCGTCTCCCGGCGGTTCGGGGACACCTCTCTTGAGAATAAGGCCATGGTCAGGAGCATTCCCGGTGGCCCGCGAGGTAACCAAGGAAGCAGCCGCCAAACCAAGGAGAAAGGCACGCTGGAGAAAAAGCATGGTTGTAGACGGGAATGACTGGCTTTGAGTCGAAGTGTAAAGGAATGAGTCCCGTTCTCTGATAAGCTGTGTCAAAGTGGTAAAAGTAGATTTGTGTCTTTGGTGCATCTATCTTATATAGACAAAATCTTCTGTATCTGATGAGGACCATTGTGACCCCAACTTCTGGTTTCTTAGAAACCTGTAACAGCTATCTTGGTTTTCACATAGCCTTGTGTCTACAGGTGCTATGCATGAAGAACGGAAATGAGCCTACGGACTGCTGTATTGCATAGCTATAGACTGGACCATGCTTAATGATTAAAAGCGTACGATATAAAGCGTGAGACAAATAACAAGAAGTTGGGACTTAATAGCTCACGATCAACAGTAGAAAGGTCGATTGATAGCAAGAAGCTCATGAGTAATGGTAAGGAAGTGGGGTTCTCGTATCGGCCGAATAAACTTTCCTTGATTTAAAGTCATGATCGCGGCAGTTAAATAGTGACCGATAGCATGATATTCATGCACAATACAGTAATCAATGTAGGTCGTAAGTAATTCCGCTCACGACCATAAATCCCACTAAAATGCCTACTTTTTAACTACTAATACTATAAAAGCTAGTACCTAAAATTATTATTCTAAAATTATTATTAAACTCTTTAATAGTTAAAGTATAAGGCTATTTTTTAGAAAATATTTATAAAGTTTAATTAATCTAAAATATCTAAATTAAAACCTATAAAAGTATTTTACTAGTAAAATCTACCTTTTATACTTACTTTTAACTTTATAAGATAATATTTACTTAAGTTTAATATTTTAAATTATTTTTAAAAAAGTTATATATTATCTAATTTTCTTTATTTAAGTATTTAGTATATAATTTATTTTTATTACTAATATAGTAATAATATTACTTGAAAGGTATGTATTTTAGTGGGATTTGGGGTCGTGAGCGGAATTACCTGGACGTACTGTAGTTAACAGTCATGGACTTAACCGGCTCTTTGCATAGAAAAAAGCGTTTTCAGGGCTAGTGCATGAGAAAGATTGACTCGTGTGGCAGCGAATAGGGCATGCGAAACATCTGACACATCTGACACCGAATCGTGGCTTTCTTTAACAAGATCAAATAAGAGGGTATTGCGCGGCTACAGCCCACAAATCCAAAAATATCAGACCAGCGTTTTATAATATACCCCACAAGAGAACTAGTATCAAGTAAAGAGTAGTACTACGTAGACGACCTTTTTTGCTATATAAATAACCTTCATACTTAAAAACTATAGATACTATCTAGCTAATAGAGGTATCTTTTTTAGTAAGGGTATAGTAAATTATACTACTTTTACTAGTAAAAAGTAAATAGCTTTTTCTCTATAAAGACTAGATGTTCTTCTTTTAAAAAAATCTAAATAAACTCTATATTATATAAAATCTTAGAAAACCTATTTCCTTAATATAATATCTTAACCTTTTATTAGAGAACTTTATATAAAATATATAAAAAGGGTAAACTAAAAAAAGATACTTATTTTATAGTATAAGTAACTATAGATTTTAAGTATAGAGGTTATTCGTGTAGTAAAAAAGGGCTATCTATATAGCACTACTCTAAGTAAAAGCGTGCGCGCTATCTATAACGGGTTTTACCATAATTCAGTAACGAGGCGTAGCTCGACTGACTCGTAGCCGCGTGCCCCTTACAGCTCTCGGCATAACTATCATGTTAATGGTAATTTCGGATGAGAAAGTTTTTAGTACAATATGTGACCTTGAAGGACATATCATTTTACGGCACGATGACTTGGTCAAGATATAAATCTACGCATGTCTCCCTCGAATACTTGTTATCAGCACTCACATTCCGCATCTACAACATCAAGTCACTTCGCATCTACAACATCAAGTCACCTATGTTTCTTGCCTTTTCCCACCATCAGGCCTGTCTAGACTAAAATATTCAAGAAATATATCTTTGATCCTCAACGGAGCACTTGCTTCGGGCATCCTGTTCTGTGACTAATCAAAATGGTTCGCATTACTGCTGCTGCTGCCTTGGCTTGTAAGTTCGCTATTCCTCTCTTCACTGCCAGGATGTTGAAGACTAACAGCACCTTTAGTTGTTGCTATTTCTTCTGCAACGATCTGGGATGCCGCTGATAGTGGAAGTCTTGCTGCTCGAGCAGATACCCCAGCGTCGAGCCCGGACGATCTGCAGCAGCTAGATACGCTGATTGATGCTGTGGCAACGCTTTCGGATATGCTCAAAAAGCTGAAGCAGGGTACTGGTGGTGAGAAGAAGGAAGGTGGTGCGTAGAGTTTCACAGTTATTGGCCCTCCGTATAGGAAGCGCTTGGCGGAGATATCTACACTACTGAACTGATACATCATGTCATAAGTAATAGTAAATACATACTATAACTTGAGCAGCTGATTAGTCACTTAATCAGTGAAATGTACTTTGATTTGGTCGTAATACGTGTTCAATTCGCGTATACACTTATATATGCCTCTAATTTGCTGGATTGAATGCCGCACATCGCACTGATGCGCCAGCGAGCCTGTCCCACGGCCACTAACAAGTCAACGACGACAATTGACAATAGTGAAACCGAGCAGACAGCAAGGCAAGAAGTGCATAACTAGCAGTTCTTCTGGCAATAAACAGAAGCTGACGATAAACATTTCGACAGGCATGGAAGTTGCGTGCGAGGACGGCCTATGCATTGCCCAAAACACAGGCTTTGAAGAAAGAGTTGACACTGTAGTTGGTTCCCGCGCGGGCACGGCCCCTTGCTGGCCGCCATTTCATCATTCACCTCCAAAATTTCTGTTTCCGCATTGCTCGTCTCCACATCGCTCGTACCTCGAATCACGGGCGAGGCAACGACGTTGGCGACGGCAAGGCCGAGCATGACCTACATGGGTTAGCGTCGTGGAACGGAAAGCTGCATTCATGTTGAAGTACACACAATGGTGGTAACCAGCTTCATCTTGTGCTGTTCAGGTCTTGTATATTCTTTTGAGTGTTGATAGCTTGGCAGACTGCTTTTGTTCTTGTTCAGAATTTCCATCATCAATGTCTGGGTGGTGCTCGACTTTATTTATCGGATGAAACCCACGATTTGCGCAAATAGTTCTTCAGCCTGTAAGCCTCCCGCAGTGGCTGCTTACGGGACAAAATAATGCATCCTTATTTAGTTAGTTGATATGCTGCAGGCCGAATGCCTTCCGGCAACTACCAACTTGGGTTCTTTGGTGCGCTGCTAGTCGCGATTTGCGCAATTCCGGCAGCAGCCTTGAGACACTCAACACAAACCGCGTGTCTGGTATATGAGAACTATTGAGCAGTACTGGTAGTAACATTTCTTAAAAAACGTACGACGAATAGATCAGGCTACGGCAAAGGCTTGAGCAAAATACAATACATTTGTCATAGCGTGACACCTAGCACCTTCTCGGCACGCCACGGTTGTATTGACAAAAGTTCTCACGAGGCTGGTCCGCGACTGACTCATCCAAGTGTTGTCCACGTTATGAAATTTCACTTGATAATATCATATACAGATGACGGTATGTGAGGGCCGAGGCATCGTGTTGCAGGTCCACGGGTGGTGGCCCTATGCCGAGTACATTCCTGCTGCGCTTCTTACACGGCGCAATGGAGGCATCCACGTGAAAAATGCCCTTGAAGAATACCCTCGACCGGCTGAGCAAGCTACATACAATGCCCAGGCATCTATCTCGCCATGATCGGGCAATTACCCACAATATCCCCATTTGCCCTGAAGAGACCCCCAATCTTCCGAAACGGAAAACGCAGCCCGACGGTGCTCCCTAGCAAACATAAAGCTGTTCAACGACTCGACGCTCAATTATGACTTGACCTGGCGCTACATATTGCACAGTTTATTATTACAAAGGAGATAAAGAATGAGATGACGTGGAAAGACGCCTTTGTATGTCGGACACAGTGGACCCGAGTACTGGCGCAGCACAGGTAGACCAACTCACCTGACATGTATCACGGAGCCAAATGCTGCCCGCCAGACTGTAAAAAAAAAAAAATATTGCATGAAAAAGATGACAGACTACCGTTTACCACAATATTCCAAATCAATGACTAGAGCGTCCCTCGGTAAATTCTGGAGAGAGAAGTGTCAGGTGTTTGTCTGCGCTGCTTTTCATGTCCTAACACGAGAAGCAACACTCACTACTTGCGGCAACCACACCAGCGACACTTGTCCGTCAAATCCCGGGAACTACAGTAGTAGTTGCCAAGAGTGTCGCACCAACAGCCGTAGTATTTCTGGGCGTTTTTACACCCTTTGTCGAAGTGAAACCCTACGCACCCAATCTTGGGTGGGATGCCGCCAGCCATCTCGCCGGCTCCGGCGCTGCGAGGACCTTGGGATCGCCAGTGGCGACGGCGTCGATAACACTAGCAGAGAGAATTGCAAGAAAAGTGTATTTCATAATTAAGGAATTAAACGACTTAGGTGCAAGCTATGTAGTGAGCGTCTGCGAAAGAATAGCATTCCCTAACCCTTTTATAGACAAAATAAAATTATATCCTAAGTATTATTAAGTACTTTAGCTATTTAACTAGTTTTAAAGCTAAGAGTTAGATTTTATAAAATATTATTAGAAATTTAGAAATTTTTAAGTAATTTTATTTTTTAATATCTTTTTTTATAAATCTAATAAAAATAATAAAGATATAAAAAATAAGATCTAAGAGAAGATAACTTATATAATTTATAATTTATTTTTGAACTTTTAATTTATTTTTTTAAATTTAAGAAAATAAATTTTTTTTTAAAAAAATATAGCTTTTTTTTATATCTTTTAAAATAAATTATAATAATTTTTTATCTTTTTACTTTAATTAACTAAGTTTTCTAGGATATTAAATTATATATTTTATTTATAATATACAAAATAAGTAGCTTTAATATAGCTATAATTATTTTTACAATCTTTTAGTAGTATCTAACTAGTGTGTGTCTACGAGGCTGTAGTGTCTACCTAGCCTTGCGGCACCTAAGCGGAGCGACGGGTGTGGGCACGGTATATCCGTATACACTCGGAAATTACAGATGTCGCTTTCAAAAGTTATGTCTGCCGTGATTCCAGAAGCAGGGATATGACAAGGATCTTTACAGGGCAAATACATATAATACATAATCCCTGATTAAGATGAAATTACAAAACACAAAAATCTTGCTACTGCTAGGTAGCCAGGTCAGTGTGTGATGGCTTCAGTACCCCCCTTATATAGCGAGAGAGTATCGTAAGGTACATTCTAGGGACCCTAGTAATGGCTTGTTTCTAGCGTCAAACATAACTATTAAAAGCGACCTCCGTACTTCATGCTCGCTGCTCACAAGAAAACGTATCAGCCAAGTAGTCGTGCACTCTCTACTCGAGCATCCGTCGTACCAACTACCGTTCGGGGTGCTCGAGTCAGTGCGCAATTCTATATTCAACCTATAGACAACTTTACGAGCTGATCAGTTGCACCCATATGTAGGAATAAAGACGGGACGAGTTTGCAATGTCGTCACAAAGCATCAAGGCGGACGGACAGCGGGCATACGCCCTGGAAACAAACGTTTCTTACGGCGATCCTGTCTTGAGCCGGGATATCTGCTCGACTGTGCTTTTCTCTTGAAGGTCCTTTTACTCGTATCCTCGGTGGGTGCTTGTGCATTGGTCTTTGCAGCATGTTGGGAAAATTGACCGGCGGTCGCGTGTCCTTGTGGCCCGTCGCCACTTTGCGCACCATGGACATCTAACCTGACTATCGAGCGATGATCTGTGATAATTTATAGAATTTCGACCAAGTTCAAGCTAGCCTGACATACCTTTTGTCTCTGCTGGCAGAATTGAACTTTTGGAATCAGCCTTACAAGTGTCAGACAGGCTCGCTGTTGAGGCGTGGGGTGAGGCGCAGTCGAATCCTAGTCTTTCCTGGCTGTCGCTCAGCTCACTGCATGCTTCTGCAGAGTACTCACATGGTGTCTAATAGCAAGAACATTGTGACTCAGTCTTATCTACAACGTGAGCACATACTAAAGACAAGAAAGTCGGTCCGCAGAGACATAGTAGGGGTGGTGGGCACATCCTGAAGATTCTTCAATAAGAGATATGTGTTTTAGACACCAAGCAGAACCGGCGTGTTGAACAGTGGGGGTATCGTGAGACAGCTGTAGCGGCGATGCAGAATTTTGTCTTTGGTGATTTGAATAAGTCCGTCTCTGTCGAAGTCGTGCTTCGATGCCAACTAATTCGATTTGCGACGCAGCTTGAACGTGAAGTAAGCTTGGGCGAAGCAAGAGTAATGATGAGACGTGGCCATTGCGCTCGTTAGTCTAAACGCCACGAAGGGTGAAGGAATGTCAAACTGAGCTTGCTGATATTGGTCAGCTTTCTCGGCCTACATTCCAATGTCAAATTAATGTTTCTGACAATGCAGCTACAAGGTTGTTGAGTTTCGGATCATCATGGCCAAGCCCATTAATTGAGACGGCAATTGGGCCCACATCGTGGTTGCCGAGGCAACAGGACCCCATGATTGTCATGCAACGCTTCCCAGACCAATTCACCATGATGGTCAAACGGTCTTTACAACGCGAACCTCCTAAATTTATTATTTATCATCTCTTTTTAATTCTCAAGTCATAACCAAGTTACAGTTACTGGTATCGATCTTACTCTACACGTCTACGATACATTCTCTTTCTGCACTGCGCCACGGCGCTACCGTGCTTATACGGACAACAACAGAAACAGTTGCGCTCGAGTAAACAGGCCGACCAAAGCCTCTTGTCTTGCGCATACGATAACGACCCTTGGTGACGATACGAACAAGACGAAAGCAACGAAAAAAAAAACAAGAAGAAATCCACAAAAATGGAAAATCTGCTCTCTCTCGCGTTCGACAACCTCTCCTCCTACGACGGCCCCAAAGTCCGCAAGGGTCTGCGCCAAGTCGAGGGTCTGCTGGCGCAAATCTGCTTGTCGTCGGCCTCCCGCGACGGAAGCAAGCCCGACCAAGACACGACGGGGATAACGGGCGTTGACGGCGAAGACGACACGACAACGTCGCCCCCGCCGCCGCCGCGCAAGGACCTCGGCCGGCTCTCCCAAGACCCGGCGTTTCGCGAGTTCTTCAAACTGCAGGAGGGCTTTGAGTGGAACGTCGGCCTGCGGCTCATTAGCACGCTCGATCGGCTCATGGCCAAGGGTAGCGACGGGCAAAACGACTTGCTCATCCTCAGCGCGCTCGACCTGCTGCAGGGCGCGATGCTGCTGCACCCGCCGAGCAAGGGCCTATTTCAGCGCGAGCAAAACATGAATGTGAGTACAAACGCAGAATTCTTTTACCTTGTTCCGACCGAGTCAAAAATATGGTCTGTCAAACTAATACGAGTCCACCCAAAGCTCCTTCTTGACCTCCTCGAGCCGTTCAACTGCCCGGCAATCCAATCCGCCACGCTTCTCACCCTCGTCGTCGCCCTGATTGAGATGCCGAGAAACACGCGCGTCTTTGAGGGTCTAGACGGCCTGCTCACCGTCACCTCTCTCTTCAAGTCGCGCTCCACCTCGCGCGAGGTCAAGCTCAAGCTCGTCGAGTTTCTCTACTTTTACCTCATGCCCGAGACGCCCTCCATCCCCCGCGCCGACCGCCGCGATTCGCTGCCGGATATGCTCCAGCGCAGTCCGAGCAAGCTCGCGAGCGCGTTTGGCGGCGGTGATGCGGCGGCGGCGCACAAGCGCGGGCGTGGCGAGACGGGCGGAACGCTGTCGACGTCTGAGAAGCAGCAGTTGCTGAGTAGACATCTAAGCAACGTGGAGGATCTGGTCAAGGATCTTCGCACGTGTGCGCCATTTGGAGGCGTGGTGGCGTAGATGGCTACTCGCTCGGGCTTGTTCTTGAATCTGCTGGTTTTTTTTTTCGGTCAAAGTGCTCGGTGAATTTCGACAAGACTGACAGCTGTGGCGTTTTGTCTTGAAAATGCGTGTTTTTTTCTTCGCAAAAGCTTTTAATGATTTCTTCTAGTTGGGTTAATTTGGCTTTCACTTGGCTTTGGTCGATTCCTTTTTTCTTTTGTCATCTCAATTCTCGACAAATATCATGTACGAATATGCTCGGAGTTTTCGGTAAATAGATTGGTATGAACATGAATAGAACACATTAAACCGTCACCTCCTTCTCCGACGTCCCCTCATCTGAGCTCGTGTCCCGCCCGATTTCTGTTGCCTCGAGCTCGTACATCTCAACGTTTTCGACAGTAGGCGCGCCACTCATCTCGACTACATCGTCCTCTGGCACAGCCGAGTCAATTTCGACGGGCGATGTATTGTCTCCCGGCGTGTTGGGCTGCGATGGTACCGCCCGCGCGGCGCCCGGTGCTCCCACCGCAGCGCCATCAAAGTATCCTCGCGGCTCGCCGACGCCGTCACCGGGCACCTCGCTTATACTGATCGCCCGGGCCGCCGCGCGGGCCTTGGCACGCTTCTTCCGCAGCAACCACAGCCAGGTCAGCGCGCCGACCACGACGCCCGTGCTGGCGACAACGGTGACGGCGATGCCCGCCTTTGTCGTCGGCGACAAGCCACCGCCCCCCGCCGCACTTGCTGCACACGCACCGCTAGGACACTGTACCGTCGGCAATGTGGTATTCGTCGTCAATGTTGATGTCGTTGTCGTCGTCGTCGTCAATGTCACGGGGGCGACACAGCTCCCGTCGGCGCGGCACTCGGCGCCGTATGGGCAGCAGTTGCCGCCAAGCTCGGCCGGGCATAAAAAGTACTGCGGCTGCGGGCAGCGACGGCCGCAGCAACCCGTTTCGGTCGCGTTGCCGGCGACGGATGGCAGCGGTAGAGCGGTGGTGGTGGTGGCAGTGCGGGTGCAGTAATAGGACTTGCTGTTGCAGGGCGAGTCGGCGACACAGTTGGAGCCCAGCGGGCAGCAGCGCGACTCGCCGCCGGTGCTCACGAAGCAGTACGAGTCGTTGCTGCAGCACTGATCACCGTGTCCCGTGTCCAAGCCTACACGATGGCGGGGGGAATTAGTCTAGAAGTCGAAATCGGGACGGAGTGGGTTTGGGAGGCTGTCACGGACAAGTGTGTTGGTTTGCGCTGCATGCTCCATTACGCTTCAATACTGAGCGATAATGTGTGCGACTTTGCCTGCTTCTCATTCTGGAATTTTGCTGCTGCTTTAATCGAAGAAACTGACAGATTAAGTCCTAATTGTAGTGTTGAGCGGTGTATTGGACGTTTCTATTTGATTCGGTATTGTTTGCTCATGAGGCTGATGGACGCCCGCACGCCTCGGCCTAACCAACTAAGCGTGGCCCCTGGCGCCGATACATGCGACGTCTACCAGGCAAAGCTGTCTTGGAAATAATCTATCGTACATGTGGCTTTGTTCAGCGCACGTACGACGCCAAGTCTAGCGTCGTCCAATATGCCTTCCGGACCACAGGCCACAACAGCTAGACGGCCTCGTCCAGCAGCCGTCGCCGTGGCCGCTATGATGGCGGGGATGGCGGGCCGGCCCATGCGCTGCGAGACAGACTCCGAGAAGAGCGGCTGCAAATCGATGGACCTCGAGGCGTGTAGCGTCACTTCAATGTTGTCTGCTCTCAGTGCTTCACCAAGGTAGTGCTCTAACACCATGTTTGCAAAGGCAGGTTCGCGAACAGCCCAATGCAGATCCACTACCGGCTTGCGTTTCGAGTTTCCGATTAAGCGATGCATGTATGAGATGGGCGTCACGATACCTGTGCCCCCTACGATAAAGACGACATGATTGTAGGTGTGAAGAGGATGGCTGGTGCCGTAGGGCCCTTCCACAAGTACCTTGAACTGTTTTGTATCCAGCGCCAGCTCTCGCAACTGGGCGGTAAAACCATTATATGGCCGGATTAAGAATTCAATCGAAGCTGAACCAATGGCCGTCTGCGTCTTGCCGTTTCCGTCGTCGCAATGGGTGGGAGCAAGCAAGGCTGTTCGCTCTTCCGCTTGGACGGGCGGTTTCGTCACCACAGCGGCAACTGTAAACGGGTGACTCTGTAATCTCGACTTGACGTCCGATAGAACCGTCAAGTAAAAGAACGTGCCGGGTTTTGGCTTACGTAGCGAGTACCACTCCACTGGCACGCTCACCTGTACAATGTCTGCGGCTTGGGAGTATGATGCGCGCGCTTTGCTGCCCCACGACAGAGGGCTGAAAGCCGCGGAGCGTAATACTCTCACAATGCGATCAAAGATCCATATATAGGTCGGGACCCGTACAAAACCGTTCCAACGGCCATTAAAGATGGATACATGGCTACGCACTTGTGAGTTTGATGCTGGCTCATTCTGCGCACCGATGGCGTACTCACCCTAGCATGGAAAACAGTAGTAGGACTGACAAGCCAATGTGCATGACAAGAAACGCTTCATAGTGATACCTGCGTATGACTGGCTTGGACAGTGGTATTAGTAGGCACATGAGTGCTGTAGCCTGCTTGTTGTAAGTGAGTGTTTGCTGAAACTCGAGGCGTGCCTACCAAAACTCCAGCCTGCCAGTATGCATACTCGAGGCATTGTGCGTACAAACCATACCAGCCACCCTCTATAGGCTGTCAGAGCATGCAAGTCAGAAGAAGACGAGGAAGAGATATAAAAACATACGGCGATGCACTATTATGCTATACCCGAGGGAATGCACAATTGCCTGTATTGTCGCAATGCGAGCTGTCCATCGGTGAAAGCTGTTATAAGTGCCAAAGTCCGACCCCGTGAGCCAGATGGCAACATTGTTGCGCATGCCAAATAGCCATATCAAAGGGAAGTTGACAAAAGCTATGATTCCAGTTCGATCAGACACGTAGCGAAGCGCTTGATCGAGGACGCTGTCGAAGCTAGTGACAAGACTTGTAAGTGCATGGGTTCCACGACAAGAGCTTGGGTGAGAAATCACGTACTAATAATTTTCTTTGGTCAGTTGGTAGCCGATTACCGAGAACACGGTGTTTATGGCAATGAACGCAAATATTGTGAGCGACTGTATTCGCGGCGGCACGGAGCAGCCCCAGGTTCTCTGGGCGCATCGGTAGCCAAAGGTCGCTGGTAGAAGCAGCCGGCGCTTCAGCCACGAAGATGGACCGAGCGGCAGTTTTACTAGCTGCAATGATGGATATGAGTAGTATATGCGACATGCTACTAAGTAGAGCCTGTGAGCGAATCCGATGGCCACGACGAGGACCCAAAACGCCATGACAGCCGCACTGGATGGGGGATTTAGCCACTGAGCTCGTAGATGCGACAAAGCAAGGCGGCCACGTACCCATACAAGAAGTGATGATGGTATGAGTAGCTCCAGCCGCCCTAATTTCACAATTTAGCTAGCTAACCATCAAGGAAAAAAAAACAAGGAGCCTTTTCGGGGGCCGTACCAGCGTCTGCAGCCAGACGTTAAAGTATTCCGGCGCTGGAAGAACGGGTCCATGCCGTGGCTCTAGCGGGCCGAGAGTGTCGCTTCTATGGATTCGCGGAAAATTCGAGATCTCTCTCTCTGTATAATTTGAAAGACGGGAAAATATTGGTATTGAAGTGTTGAAGAAGGTCTGACAAGTATCATTCATGCGCGCCAGCGCCATTTTCCGGGTCGAAGCGCCGCAGTAGAGGTCGATGCAGATGTACGTCGAAGTCAAGCTCAGTGCGCTCTTGCAGTTTTGCTCCCGCAGTGTCGCATGGCGAAGAAAGTCTGCGAAAATGACGGGTCTGAGAGAATTTTGGCAGCTCTCTGCGCAGGTGCTGTTGAACGACGTGTCGATGCAGTAACCGAGCTGAGCCGCGCACAGGATAACGAGCCCGCCGACCGCCCCTGGACAGGATACCTTCATATTCGCCAACAATCAGCTCGCGACCATGGCGTGTATGGGCGTATGTGACAATAGAATAAAAACGCGGAGCTAGAAAGTAGAAAGACTTGTACGGCAACGAAATGTGGCGGAAGCACGTCTGGGAGCTTTGCGTTGGCTGCTGACTGTGAAGGATGATGGGCTAGTTATCAGATGCGATTGATAACGAGACTCGGAGACACTCAGGTTGAGGGATCATGTGTGCAGTTTCGCGTGGCACCTTTAGCCGCCTCCCGAGCCAATTAAAAACAGACTGAGCCAGTCACCCACTTTAGTCTACAATGAAGAGGATACTATGGCAGAGAAGCTTCTCCGGTCCGTGAGGCGTCGGGGCAAGGTCAGACGCGGCATTTGCTGATTATGGTACGATTGGACAGCCACTCTCCGACATGTTGTCTGCTTTCAACTTTGGCTAGGAAACATGTCAAAATGCTTCCATGTTCAAGAGTTATAATCCGAACTTGCACGTGATTTTCCCTTTTGATTTCAGACGACCCATATAATCGTGTGCTGCTCCTCGTTGGTCAGTCTTTTGGCCTTGGTTCCTGAGACCATGTAATGGCAAGCGACGGACCAATGCCGAACACGGCTGCTCGCGGCAGGCAATGATTAACTTTATAAACTATTGATCAGCCCATGAATCGCCCCCCTGCTTCGGGCATTACCAAAAATCGTTTACTCCACGTCGGCCACGGACAGCCGCAGAGTGTGAGGCTGTCAGACGAGGCAATATCGGAGCATCAGTTAGTCACGTCCGATAGTCCAGTGCGACAACTCCGTGGAAACTGCGTCGACTTCTTTGCACGCATGGATAAGGGAAAATTTCTCTCCGACGATGCTCCATACAAAGAGCCGAGTTTTTCTTCAGCCCTGGAATTAGTGGAGACAAGCTCACTATTCACAACAGCACGCTCAACCAGTGACGATGATAATTTGGAGTGAGCATGACCAAGAAAAAGATATAATAAAATGAGGGTGAGGGAAGCTACCGTGCCTTTGATGGATGCAAGATACCCGATTCGCTCACATCGTCTCGGTTTTTACGCAACGACATTGACCGATGTGGTGTCGAAACAGCCTCTTGCCAATCTGCGCTGATTGATAAGATCCATCACAGCTCGCTAGTCCGCGTTAGCTTGCAGCAAATTCCCAGCTACTAGTAGGACCGGCAAAAACGGCACATTCCTCGGTGGGCTCACGTGGGTTCATTAAAAATCTAGAAGAAAAATCGACGCGTGTCTGGTTCTGGTCGTAACTAATAAAAAGAGGACGACAAGCCCTCTTGTTGACCATCTTGTCTGCTGGGCTTGGACCATTGACACACTCCCCCCCCCGCCCGCCCGAGTTGAGACCAGAGCAGACCCTCCCACCACGATGAGCGAAATACACAGCAACAGGCCGCAGTCGCGAGACAGCAAGAATCCAGTCGAGGAGCCCGAGATTAGAAAGTTCCAGGAGCTGGTGTCGGACGACAATCAGGATGGCGTGCGCATCGCCGAGGCTGTTGCCCTGTCGTGGAGCAAGACCTCATTGACTGTGGTTTATGTTTGGTATGTAAATTGTCGGCGCGACGCGGTAGGCGCTTGAAAACTGAAAAAAACTGACAATTTCGATTTAAAGCATGTGGCTGTTGTATTTTTGCAGAGCCATGATCGGCTCCCTCTCCGAGACTCTCACGCCCTTTGTCACCAGCGACTTTCAAAGTCACTCGCTCATGCCCGTCATTAATGTCATGACGAGCATTCTCTCCGCCGCCACCTATATGCCGATTGCCAAGATTCTCAACATCTGGGATAGAACGTTTGGATTTGCTGCCATGATGGTCCTATCGACTTTGGGTCTGATTCTCATGGCAGCAAGCAAGAGCTTTGCTGTCTACACTGCTGCCAATGTAAAAGCAATCCTGTTCCCCCCAAAAAGCGAAACGAGAAAAAAAAAAAATCATCCCTTGATTTTTATGTCCGAATAAGCTAACAAACCATCTGCTAGGTATTTTACAATGTTGGCTTCACTGGAATGATTTTTGCCGTCGACATCATGACGGCCGACTTTTCCTCGCTCAAGATGCGTGCCTTTGCCTACGCCCTGACCTCGTCCTCGTACATCATCACCGCCTTTGGAGGCCCCAAAGCCGCCGAGACCATTTACGAGAGCAACTGGCGATGGGGCTTTGGCGCCTGGACCATTGTCCTCCCCGTCGTGTCCGCGCCCATGATGTACATGCTGCAGCGCGGAAAGCGCCTGGCCAAGGAGAATGGCCTGCTTACCCGCGAAAGCAGCAATCGGACCCGGGCAGAAGGCTTCAAGTACCATTTTATCGAGTTTGACGGTGAGTGGCCTGTTCGGAAAATTGTAAGCTGCATTTGCAAGTGCTCACTGGGTGATAGTCATTGGTGTCTTCTTACTCAGCGCCGGATTCGTCCTCTTCTTGCTGCCCTTTACCATTGCTGCCGATTCCGAGGACCAGTGGCGCTCCGCCTACATTATTGCGATGCTCGTGCTCGGAGTCGTTCTCATCGCTGTATTTGCGTTGTGGGAGCGCTTTGGTGCGAGTGTTCCCGTCGTCCCGTGGAAGCTCCTCAAGTCTCCCTGCGTCATGGGTGCCTGTCTAATTGCCGCCACGTACCAAATCTCATATGCCTGTTGGAACAGCTACTTCACCTCTTACTTGCAGGTAGTCTACGACATCTCCAAGTCGCGAGCTGGATACATCAATAACATCTTCAATGTCGTCAGCGGCATCGAGCTGTTCCTCGTCGGCATCTTGATTCGCTGGTCAGGTCGCTACAAATGGGTGTTCATGTGGGGTATTCCTCTCTACATCCTAGGAGTTGGCCTTTTGATCTATTTCCGTCAGCCAAACCACAGCCTTGGATACATTATCATGTGCCAAATCTTCATGTCGCTCGGTGGTGGGGTCATCATTGGCGGACAGCAGGTTTCGGTTGTGGCGACGGTGTCTCACGATGAAGTTGCGTCGGCCATGGCTGTGCTCTCACTAATTGCAACTATTGGCGGCGCCATCGGCAACAGTATCTCTGGTGGTATATGGACCAACACTCTGCCAGGCAAGCTTCAGCAGCTTCTCCCAGACTCCGTCAAGGACCAGTGGCGGGATATTTATGACGACCTGGATGTCCAGTTGAGCTATCCCGTCGGCACGCCGGAGCGCACAGCTATCATGGATGCCTACGCTGGCAGTCAAAAATTCATGCTGATTGCAGGCACATGTATCATGGGCTTGTCTCTCATTTGGATGATGATGCTCAAGAATGTCAATCTCAAAAAGATAGACCAGGTCAAGGGGTTGGTACTTTAACTTTCAAGCTGTGGTTTAGTTCACCACAGTGGACCCAGGGCAGCACGAAATGATTCAACAATCTTATTGATTCCTTGACTTTTAAAGCAAAACTGACAATGCGTAAATATCGTAAAACATTGGCGCGTGCGGGTATATCTAGTTACGCTGGACGCCACGCTCAGCGCAGTACTTGTCAACTTCCTTTTGCAGAGTATCACGCTGGCGGAGAGCAGCATCCATGACATCCTCAGCGGTAGCGCCAAGACCTTTTCCGTCCTCCTGGCCAGTTTTGTGGATGACAGCCATTTCATCGAGGACAGCAAAGAGCTGGTTGGGCAGCCAAGTGACAATGGGGGAGCCACCAGTGGCAGTGGGGTGAGAAGTGCGCTTGAGAATGTACTCGCGAGCGAAGCACCAGTGACGCCAGCGAAAGTCGCGGACCTGGTTGAGAATCTGGAGCCAGAGGCTGCGAGAGTTGCGGAGGAGGTCGCGCTCCTCGTCAGAGGCGGGAGGGGTAGAGCCCTTGAGGCCGAGGGCAAAGGTTCGAAGGTTGAGCTCCTCGGAGCGCTCCTTGGCAAACTGTAGGAAGGCCTTGTGGTTGCTGGGACGGTACTTGCGGAAGTCCTTGAGAATCTCGGTGAGGGGAGTTTCGGGCATGGGGACCTGGAGAAAGTTGTCCATGAGTGGCACCATGGAGTCGTTGGCTCCGCTCTCACCACGGAAGGACAAGGGCTTGTTGTCGTTGAGACCCTCGTAGACGACGCCGTTGGGGAACATGGACTGGGATGTGATACCAAAGATGAAGGTGCGGAAGCTGGTGTACTCGGTAGGACGAGATTTTCCCCACATGGTCTCCATGACAGCGTTAATCTTCTTCATGGCGCCGAGGATATCTTCGAGCCCCTCGTTGAGACCCTTGCGAAGCTCTGCAACATTGCCACCAGCGGCAGTCTTGGTAGCGGCCTCGAAGCTCTTCATGACTCCAGCGACGAGTGGGCCTGAGTTGCGGACCATGTCAATGTGAACGAGGACGAAGCCGGCCTCTGAGGAATCATGGTGCAGACCGTGTTCAAAGGCGCGGATCAGACGCAGATTGTCATACTCGAGACCCTTGGAAGGGTCCTCGAGGCGGTAGTTGAAGAGAGCATAGGAGCCAGCATACTCCATGAAAGGCTCAAATCCGCAACTAAACGATTATTAGCTTGCCAAACTATGGTTACGGCTGACTTGCGGCTGAGTCTACTTACATCTCGGCGCAGCGAGCGATGGGGTGGGAGATTTGCTTGGGCAGAGTCTGGCGACCGAGCCCATACTCCTCACCACGGACGAAGCGCTCGTGGCAGGGCTCAAGAAGATAGGCAGAGGCAAGGAAGGAATAGTCACGGTAGAGGGCGTTCATGACGGGGAGGTTGTGCTGGTATTGGTCCATGGCGTCGGTCAGGTCGGGAAAATTGCTGTCAACCTCGGGGCCCAGCTTGGACTCGGCCAACAGACCGGGCTCGCCAGAGAGAGTCTTGACAGGCATGCGCTGCAGGATAGACTCGAGAGCTTCAAACTCCTTGGGCAGGGTGACGACGGGATCGGCACGGGGGAGGAAACCACGAGTGGTGGAAACCATGAATGCGGGCATGGTGGTGTCCTCGGGACGAGTGTCGTCGAGGACATTGAATGTGGAAGCGCCAATGGAACCCATTGTGATGTGTGTTGGTGGGTGCGGTGGTGTGATGGTTGGTGGTGGGCAAAGGTCTAGTGTGGGTTGGGTGTGATGGTGACAGTTGTGTGTGAGTATGTGTGAGTGAGTGAGTGTGTGTGTGTGTGTATGTGTGTGTATGAGAGCGTGTAAGTGAGTTTGTGTAAGTGAAGATAAAGTATAAATATAAAGTGATAAAAGTGTCAAAATGAAGACGAGACAAGTCCCAAAATAGTAGCCAGATTTACTGGGATTTTTGGGGGAATATTCTAAAGTGAAGAGTAAAAGTTGAAAAAAACTAAACACCACGGCAGGTTCGTCGCGCCGCATAAGTACTCTGTGGCCGGAACAGATTCCGGCCTCAACGAGCGGGGAGACAAGTGGCCACGCCTGCATACCCTCCCCCAGGGCACCAAGCCCTTGCTGAGTTGGGCATTCTAGACCCAACGAGGAGCGAATGAAGCCGGAGACGATTGGACTGCTCGGTCTCGGTCGCGATGGTCGGCAGATGAGCGTGTCATGATGAGGCCGTCACGACCACCACCCACGCAACAGGGCGGCAGAACCAGCTCCCAGCCACGTCTGGAGTACGATGCGCAGTTGTTTCCCCGACAGACAATAAAGTGCTGGCCAGAGTTAACCCGCCAGGTGTCAAAGGCAATGTGGTTGCGGCACCGCAGGCCAGCACCAAAGCATCATTGTTGTCACAATTCTCTGCCAACACGGTAACCCAACCCTTTCTCCCACAATGCAAAATCGCCACGGGTCATGCTCTGCAATTCTCGCCCTCGCACTGGCCCCCTTGAGGACTTGCTCCCCTCCACCAGGTAGGTTCTGGGGTAACTCCATAATCCGAGTCCACTCGGGGGCAGCGCTAAATCCACCGGGCTGAGGAGGCCAAGGAGCCGGGGGCAACCAAAGGAAAAAAAAGGTCTGAACAAGACAAGGGGCCCAAAGAGTTTGGGAGCAAGGTTTCGTTGGGTAATGCCGGCCCACACACAGGTACCGAGTCTGCCCGGCCTGAAAAGCGGGGATTCATTGGCCGGAATCGTTCCGGCCAACACACCATCACGGCCATCACGGCGCCGGACACAGGCGCATTCCCAGGTCCGATAACTCGGAGGGGGGCCTGCGTTGCGCCCGCTATGCTTATCAAACCTTTACACGTAATACGCTGCCACAATCTGCCGCGCTCCGCACTTCGGAAGGATGTTGCATGGGCCACTGCATTGCCTCTCCACATGGATAGATATATTGCGGCTCGCACTTTTTTTTTCCGTTACAAATAACCTGCGCACTGCAGCACATATTATAGGGCAGCTAGTAAATCTCAAGTCGCACATATAGAATGCTCATGTATAATCGGCCATTTTAGTGCAAATGCGAAGAACTTCACATGCTGCTGCTATCAAGCAGAGGCAAAAAGGTGGTTGTTAGAAAAAGGCCACACTTGTGGGATTGTCTTTATTCAAACGCGAGCAAAACTTGTCAAAATTACCAACTTAGTCCCGGTTTACAGTTTGGGGCATTGGTCTAGCCAGACCGGTTGTCGGGGCGCCGTCGTCATTAGTGCGACCGTGGCGCCCCCTTGGAATGCCCAACTGATGTTCTCCCACCAAATCATTTTCCAACATGAAGAGCGTAGTGACAGATTGACAAGGAGAGTATATGTTGCACGACCAGCCAGAGCTGGGATTCAGCGAAAATGTTGGACGCGGAGCCCGAGGAAGAGCAGATGGTGCCAGCCCATTTGCATGACAAACAGAAACAATCTAAAGAGAACCTTGATGGCTCCCCCCTAACGACAGGGATCAAACCAGTAAAGAGAGAGGCCCGAGTCCATAGGAAAAACGTAGGCGTCAGAGATCCTATACGAGCAAGGCCACAGAAGCAAATGTGCACTGTTAAATAGACGACACGGATGATTTGAGCGAGTGGTGGTGGGTAATGAATGGAAGGGTCAATGTGAGCCACCAACAGTCGCTAGCGAAAGCACACTTGACCCAAAACAAAGCATACCAAGAAGAATCCACTTGACGCCAAATAAAATCCACCCGTTTCCTAGAAGTGCTCATCCGCATCTACGGTCCTGCGTCGCAAAGTGCGCACCGTCTGGAATCCGCTTTGGCGCTTGACAAGCGCGCCGTTGGAGTCGGTTGCGAGGGCAGACGTGGTGGCCTCTGGCTTCCTTACTGGGCTGCCGGCGGGGGTGATGGTGATGGTTATCGTGGATGTGGTTGTCGACGTGACCGTGGTGGTCGAGACGGCCATCTTTTCCCCAGCCACCGCGGTGGTGCTGTCGGCGCTGGCAAGGCTGGAATCGGTCTGCAGAGATGAAGTGGTCACGCCGCCGACGGAGGCGGGCCAAGAAGGCGAGACCACTGCTTCAGGCTGCGATTCCGTGGAGTTGTTCTCGAAAAAGATTTGGCCGCTGCCGGCGGTGGTCGACTCTGCGCCTACGCCATCGGCGGTGGCAGAAGAGTTGTTGCCAGAGCCAGCACTTGATATCTCGGTGGCGCTTGGCGAGCTGGCGGAGCCGGTGGCGCTTGGCGAGCTGGGAGAGCCGGTTGCGCCAGTAAAGAGCAGAGCAGCCGGCGAAGGACGAGTGTTGGTTGCGGTAGAACTGACGGTACCATTCTTGGAGAGATGGCTAGCAGAGGCCGAAGCGCTAATAGCTGAGGCAGTGTTGTTGGCGTATTTGCCATCGAGGCCAGCCTTTGTGGAGCTCGGGCGACGGTAAACGGTGACGGTCGTGTAGCTTGTCGAGGTCATTGTCGTAGTAATGGTCGTTTCTTCTTCACTCTCGGCAGCGCTACCCTTGGCCTCCGATCCCAGATTGGCGGCAGCTGTGGTCGCAGACGGCGGAAAAGTCAAAGTGAGAGAAGCGCCATCCTGCTTTCCAGCGCTGCCATTGGCACTTGTCGAACTTGGAGCAGCAGACTGCGCATCTACGGCCGCAGACTTGTCGTCGGATTCATCGTCAGACTCGGTGAGCTTGTCGGCAGACTGATTGTCAGATTCATCGGCAGACTTGTCGGAGGACTTGTCAGCAGTGGGATTAGCCGTGTCCGACTTGGTCGTCTCCGACTTGGTGTCCGACTTGGTGTCCGACTTGGTGTCCGATGTGGTCGTGCTCGACTTGTCCGCGGTGCCATCGTTGCCATCAGCGCTGCCGTCACCACTAGCAGGCGATGCGCCGTCAACCGTGGCAGAGGAAGAGTCCTCTTTGAAGACGGCAGCCCCGCTGGGGAGGTTCTTGCCCTGGGAGCCGCCAGATACCGAGTCTAGTGTGCAGTTAGTGGTTCGGCGGAAGAGAGGGTGCTCACTTACAGTAACGGAGCGGCGCTGGACCGAGCCGCCGCCGAGGCGATAAAGAAGATGTTCCGGGGCGCAGTCATCTTCCTCGGTGGTAAGCCCACCGCTTGATCCAAACTTGGACTCGGAGGTAGAAGTAGAGCCACCCGATGAATGCGAGCCAGACGCAGAGTTCTTGTTGGAAGAGCTAGAGCTGTCAACTGAGCCACCATCGGAGCTGCTACCGGAACTGTTGCTAGATTTGCCATCAGAGCTACTACCAGAGCTGCCGTCGGAGCTGCTGCCGTCGGAGCTGCTGCCGTCAGGCGAAGAAGGAGCAGCGGAAGATGCAGGGGAGGAAGAGACAGCGTCGTCGGAAGCAGGCCCAGACTTCAGAGGCTCAATACCCTTGCTGTCCTTGTTCACCTTTTTGCCATGGAGCAGGTCCTCGACCTCTTTCTCAAGGGCCTTGATGCGGTCGAGAATAGACACCAGGCTGCTGGTGGGAACCTCGATAACTTCGGCGCGCTTGTGCTCTTCTACAATGGCGCGGGCCACCTTGAGAGTACTGCTGAAGCGTACAAGGTCAGTCGTCGAAGAGCCAACGAGACCGTCGAGGTCACGCAGCTTCAAGACCTCGTGTGAGGCTGCGCCGACGTAGGGGGCGGTCGATGGCAGGAAGCTACCAAGTCCAAGACCGACCCTGACGAGTTTCTCAGGCAGAACCATGATAGTATAGGTTCGAGTAATAGGGGAGGACTGTGTTGGTCAATGGTCTCCTGAAATTAGCTACAAGGCGGGTGGTTAGAGGGGTGTAAGTGAAGTCTAGAGATGATAGCGGCACCAAGATAAAAGAAGGAAAAAAATAGAATGTAGAAAAGAGAGGATCAACAAATCGAGCCTAGATCGATTCAGAATATGAGACGGTGACGGAGAATTTTTTTAGAACCAGACAACACTTGACGATGCTCACTTATTTATCAAGAGGTGCCGTTATGAGTCCCTACATGGGTGGTTGCTAGGCCGAGCTAACGAGCGCATTCCAGTTGAGCTTGATGTTGCATTCGTGCACAGCAACGGACCAGTGCCGGCTGTGGGTACAATAGCGGAGAAAATTTCAACAAAGATAGAAAATTGACGACGATTTCCAAAAGAGGAAATGGGAGATATTTAATTGAGCCAGCGCACCAGTGACGCTGGCTTGGCCGCGCATCTTACTGGATGCTGCTGGTGAGCCACGAGTCTAGGCCGGCCATGAACCGGAGGAGCACATAATTTTAGCTCGTGCTAAGAAAAGAAGCATTGAGAATGTCATTTACTTTATTGATTCTATTTAATCGGGCATATTGACATTTCTGAGCACGTGAATTGCTGTCGTGAGTGGAAAGGCCACTCGGCGGCCGGCCAGCCGACTGGGAATCTGCACTGAATAGATACGGGAGGATAGTATTTAAAGCCTTCTTGAGAAGAAAAACCAGTGACAGTCGTTCTTCTGCGCTCATGACTTGGGGTCGGGGTTCAATATACCAGTTGTTGCCAGCTCTCTCAACTAAGCCTGGTACGACGCACCATGTGTCAGTTGGCGGCACCATGGCGCCCTTGATCAACACTACGCTGCAACGCTATTCCCTCTTCAAATGTAAGCCTGACATCTCGAGATTTTAATAGAGCGTGTCAAGATTATCAAGATCATCGACCATTCCTTCTTCGTCGGCCTGCAAGCTCATCCTGAGCTCACCAGCAAAGGTTCTCAGCCCTTCGCCTTCTCATCTGGCCTTCAGTGGAGAGATTTGAGATAGAATGTAGAAATAACGTTGAATCACAAGGAAAATTCAGCTCGAATCAGATATCACCTAAATAGCTACACTCGTTGGCGACGCCGCGCACATGTGCCCATCCCTGCGCTACGTCAAAGAGCAGACCCAGCATCCTAGTGTCAAGTACGTTGAGTAAGAAGACCCCCATCTTGCCTCATATCAGCTGCGAAAGAAAAACAAGAATAAGGAAATAAAAGACAAAAAAAATCATATTGAGAGTTCAACTCGATGTAGACAGGCCAAGCGCGCGGCATCATCTACAACGTCATTGGGCCCGTCAACAGCGGCGCAATGCAGTATGAGACCAAGCCCACCTACGTCCATCCGTCAAAGTCCATGACCTTTGTCGACATGCGCGCACTCGGGAAAATCTCGAGCGACGATTTGCCGCGGATGGACGATATTTGCAGGGGCAACCAGCCGCCGATTAGGCAAATGTGCGACGGAGAGCTCCTCTACCCCGATGTTCTGCTGCGACGCTGCCAGGAGTGGACAAAGGAGACGATTGAGCTTTTGAAAGAGGCAGATGTTCTTGTGTAGAGATATTTGCATATTGAGGGGAGCGCGGTATTGATCGTCATCCTACTACTCCTGCTACTGGGAGGTCTGTCTTACCTCGCATCTGTTACTCGAGACTTGTTCGCCTTGGTGCGGCATCAAGGTTTTCCATTTCCCAGCGGTCAATTTATTTGCAGTCTTGCACTGACAGTTCAGAACTACATAGCACTCCAAAGTGTCAGAAGTCTAAAGGAAAGGTAGTTATTCATCCAAGAGAGTGGCATAAGGCTCAGGTAGCCATTGGTGGTAGACTTGTCCTCACGAGTGACGCCGAAGACGAGGAACAGGAGAGATGAACAATTCGACAAAGTACAATCAACGATGCACAGTCATACGAAATGAAAATATCCCTACTAGAAGCTCATCATTTCTCATGCCCAGACTCTGAGCTCAATTCCAGTACGCCTTCCTCGTTCCTGACGACTTTTTTCCCGCCACACCACAGCCCTCGGACCAGAGGTGGCCGACCTCGTTCTCCGTCTCGGGGAAGATCATTCAAAAAGCCCCATCGCGTCTTTTCCTTGTAGCCGCAGTCCTTCCAATCATTGATGTCTGCGCTGGCATCGTTATTATACAGCGGCAAAATGTCTACAAGGGCGACATCGTGAGCCAGACAAATCAAGACATTGTCCTGGGCGTCTAGAGCCTTGACCTTGTCCACGCTCTCTTGCGCAAGATCTGCGAGCTCGTAGATGCCCTGTGGGTTGCGCGTCACGTCGTAGAATGGCTGGGACCGCGCTTCGGACAATGGCTTGGCGTGGTCAGATGTGCCAGCTTTCGGGTGAAGCGCTGTGAAGGCGGAGCACGGACAGACTGGCGGGAAGTAGGGGTCCAGCGTTCCGGGAGGGATCGTGTCTGGCATCGGAACGTATTCGGTCGGTCGGAGCATGCCGGCGTAATGTGAGCAGTCGGCGCCCATGAATATGAACGTGTCGGGGGTGGTACGGGCGAATCCGCAAATGTGCCCAATAGTGTGCTTGTCAAGGTCAGAGGACGTGACAATGTCGGAAAAAAGAGTTTCGGCTTACACCAGGTACGTCTAAAAGGTAGAAAGAACCGTCGCCAAAGTAGTCATGAGCAGGGAACCCTCCCACCTCCAGTGGAAAGTCGACCTCATGAATGCGGTGACCTCTTATCGTCCCTGTTAGCACATGACAGTCGCTGTATAAAATTCTGCATACTCGAGTGAGCTAGATGGAACTCGTCCATCTGGGTCTTTCGGCCACCCAGGTACAAAGTTCTCTGTAAATCCGGGCCCGACTACGATATCTGTCGAGGACGGGAATTTGGCTCCGTCGCCGATGTGGTCCCAGTGCCAGTGGCTCCAAACCATGGCCTCTGTCCGACATAAGTAGCCATTCACAACTGCAGTACACAATGCTCAGTCGTTTCCATAATGAAGACTTACTTAGATTGGACAAGTTGAAGCCCTGCTCCGTCAGAATCTCGTCCACGCCATGCCTTACGTCCATGTCGGCAATGAGTGTCCCAATATGTTTCAGAGCCCAAGGCACGGCATTCCAAAAATCCTTGCGAATGCCACAATCAAACAGGATGGATTCTGTGCCAGCATCTGTCCTGTGTTCGATCAAGAAACACATGGTGGTAAAGTTGATTTCCTCATGGCCAGCGATTTCTGGCTGGACGAACAATTTGGCATTACCCACCATCCTGGCCTCGGCGTCGATTGCCCGCACCGTCACAGTGCTGGTTGACGCTGGTAGAGTCACTTGCGGCGCGGCCCGTGGTGAAGCAGTACGCTCGAAAGTCGCCATCTTGAGAGGTTTCTCTTTGTCGCTTCGAGTGGTTATAAGAAGCAAGTCGAAGATGGGTATCAGGATCGGTGGGCGTGGCTCCCATATAATGATCGAACAATAAGGTGAGGGGTTGATCCTGGGGGGCGCCACTGAGATCATGGCCTCGCCTTTGCCCACAGATGGATATGCGGCAAGTGCGGCTGCAGCCACTCGGTGGTACAAGAAGGCCAACTCGAGCCCTAGCCGCAGTAGGCCTGCAGATATGGCAACTTTGACGTGTCATACATGTGCTGAGAATGTAGAGACGCTACAGCGAACCTAGAAGCACTGTCATGCGGATAAAACTTGCTGTCATTCGCATGTAAGTGACCCCTTCCGAGCCTGTTGCTGGAAGTTTCGGTTGCTCGTCAGGTTGCCGGACAACACGTCCACGCGCCCAATAGATTCATGTAACTTGCTCAGTTTTCCCTTTGTAGCTTCGGACAGTCCCTACTCCCATTCTCCCTGAAGCTGACACGCTTGCCATTTCGCCCGCCACCTTGCCTATTGTAAGGTTGCAAGTCTCATGCAATGAAACGCAAAAAACCATAGTTGGGATCCTGTGAGATGGCTCGACAAGTCAAGCTACATTGAAAGTCGCATGTATTCTCTGACCGAAAAAGTCATTCGCGCGACTAGAGGTAGCCACCAGCTTTGGCGACTGATGACCACATTTTGTCGTGCTCCTACTGCGAAATGCCATTTACCTCGCTCATCTGCAGGGAGAATAATTTTTCGCAAAGTGCGGCCCGAGTCAATACTCTGGGCTGAGAAATCTGACACTATGATGCGGATCTATAGTTGAACCTTTAAGAACGGCGGGGGCATAAGTATTGCTTGATAATGCAGTCACCACTTGGGCGTTTTCAGGCGGAGACCGCAACCGAACTCTGGCAACTGGTCTGTTGCGATTGTAGGATAACCAGGCCAGGGTTGAACGTGCTCGTTTTTATGAAGACAAAAAAAAAACGCAGAGAAGGGTAAAACAAGAGAGAGGAAAAAAAAATCCTGTGTGTGGTGACAAGTATCACCGCAAAAGATAAACGAACCACCCAGTACGAGGGTCGAACTCGTAGCCTTTGGATATCAGGGGATACCGTAAAAGTCCAACGCTCTAACCAATTGAGCTAACCGGGTTCGCTTGTTACTTGCTTGACACGAGCGGAGTAATTTAGGCTTATACTGGCTATGGACTCCACATGTAACTTAAATCTGCTAGCAGGGATCGGTTTTTGCATCCTACCCTTCACTGGATTGAGAAACAGAACACGCTTGAACAGCTATATCGTAGGCCTTATCTTCGAGATACCTCACTTTGTGAAACTTTTGATCTGATGATGCCGATTCGCGTTTGCCACTTACAGACGTTTTGCCACTAGAGCATCACTAGACTAACTAGAAACTGCTTGCATCACTTGCGCTGGCCTTCTCAGCATTGCTCCTGAATGGCTGCTTCCAAGTGCAGTACATAGTACCTCCGAACTGCTGCTGCTTTTCTCTAGTCAAGGTAATTTTGACATTGTCCCTATCCTTGCGCGAAAAGTGCCGCTGCCATCGCCACAACCTCTTCATCCAGTTAAAAACCATACCGCTGCCGAGCTCAGCGCACTAGCTTTGACTGCCAACAGAGCATCAACCGTTTAGTTTCGAATAGTCCGTGAAGCCGCAGCCGGCAGAATGAGTCTGCCCTCTAAGCTGTCGATATAGCGAGCCGCCTTTCACTCGCAAAATAAGTTTTCTCTATGCCTAGGCCGGAGCTACTCCATTATCATATTCATCAGCGGTGAACATAAGTTGGACGTGTGAGTTGTCACCGCGTCTGCTGGCTGCCATTGGCGTTTGCACCCGTCCCACCGCCAGGCGAGCCCTGGAAAAAAACGCATCGCCGATCTACTAGCAGGCCATTAGCAAGCCCTGAATAGTTACACCGATAACTATGTCTAAGAGAGTAGTAAAAAGAAAGAAGAAAATAGATATTATACTTTATTTGATAAATTATCTTATAGTAGACAGAAATACTTAGTTTAACTTAGCTAGGTAGATATTTGATTAGTTCTAAACTAATAGGAAGACACTGGTTGTCGTGGACCGGCAGTCCGGCTTTTCGACCCCTTTAGCGTGATGAATTTAATCCTCTGGTAGACATGCGGGGGTGTCTACAGCTCTGCCGATGGCTTTGAAGCGTTCTTGATATGACGCCTTACAAATTACCGTGCTGGAAAGATGATTCTGCATTCCAGCTGTCGCGCAATTTTCTATGCGACTCTCCGCCAACGACGCAGGTGATCCAGGAATAATGCGGAACATATTGAGGCCCACCGTTCACAAATTTGAGCCTTTTGAGTTGAAGCAGATGCCTCCAATCGGCGGTCTCGCCCGAAAAACATTCAAATCCCGCGTCCACGACGCCCTTGACCTTGGATCTGTCTTCTCCGTGAGCTTCAGTTGCTCTTCTGATGTTGTGGAGAGTCCGGCGCAGTCACTTCTCTCGAGGCCTCTAGAAAGGAGGCCGAAGGTGGCTCTCGGTCTCTCCTTCAGCACTCATGCACCACCTATACATTGCATTCATGCACTCTGCATCGGCGGGATAGCTGAGCTTGTGAAAGCCGTTGTCTTCTCCACGGCTTTTCTTGTTTATTTCCACCTAAGTGGCCATCTCCTCATAGGGTGGGAGACGCAGGCGACCGGACCAGACTCTTGCAATGACAGCAACCTGGGATTCGGCGAATGGAAACGCGACGACGCGCAGGTGGAGCATGACAAAGGCCAAATTAGGGTGGCCGACATGAAATATGTGCTGATAGTTAGGTCAGCGTGTTACCGTCGCTGCGGCCTGGCCCGAACCCCCGAACGCCGGATAAGAATGGATACTCATAATCGTAGCCGGTCCAGAATATAATGCAGTCTACGGAACTTTCTTCATGTTCGTTGGCGAATAAAACAGACCGCCTCTTCGCGTTAAGCTCGATGATAGGTGGGAGAATGACTTTGCCTTGTTCAAAGGATTTGGCTCCCGGAAACACTCCCACAGATGATTTCTGGGAAATCAAAAGGGTTTGCGCGGACAGAGGCGCTACTACGTTGGCAACATCAACGCCAGAAGACCCAGAAGACGAAAAGCCGACAATCACTACCTTCTTCAGTTGCGGTCATCAGGGAGCGTCCTAGCAATTGAGGAACGAGGGCTACTTACCTTTGCCTCAAACTCTTTCGCGTCTCGAAATCTTTTTGAATGCAACACTGATCGGGGGTCCAAACGCTTCCAGTCATCAATTCCAGGGATAGAAGGTTCGTATATCTTGTTGTATCGGCCATTTGATACAACGGCGGCATCGTAGCAGAGAGAAAGGACTGTCCGGTTGTTGAGGTTGAGGACTTTCAGCCTCCAGTATGGTCCGTCCTCCTGACGTTTGGCAGAGACATCTATCACTTGGTGTCGAAATCTGACGAGGTGCAAGACCCCCTTTCCATAATCCGGTATATACTTGAGCACTTGTTCCGCATCTGCCAGCAACGGCGTTCCCTTGGGAAATGGGCGTGTCAAACTGCATAACGCTCGGTATGTTTGACTCCATGCCGGGGTGAATCGGGCTGGGAACTGCGGCCACGTCATTGTGCGGGGATGTAGCATCGGTGTTCCAGATGCCACCAACATTACTTTGTTGCTCAAAGATTAGGATCTCGGAAGTAGGATCTTCATACAGCATGTGTCTTGGCGTAATGAAGAGTCAGTTGAGAATCACCCGCTATCAAATCAAGCCGCCCACTTGGCTGCGGCAATGCCACTTGGTCCAGCCCCAATAACAGCAATCGTCTTCATGGTGCGAGGCAGTGTCATGGATGGATGCCTAACCGTCGTAGGTCAGCAGGAAGCGGGCTGAGGTCTGGAGAAGATGTCTGCCTTGTTTCAAGCCTGGCTTTCGCCAGCACGAGTGTCGAGTGCCGCTGCTTTGGCTAAGCTGGCGCAGATGTCAAGACCAGAATGGCACAATCTCGAATGGAAAAGTAGTCTCCTAGGTGTTTAGTTTGTAAACAAAAATTAGATGATTCCAAATGCACGAGTTTTTATTTCTGGCACGTGTGTGTGAGTTGTCATCGCATCTCATGTTCACTGAAAGTTATAGGCGACTTCGGCAAGTGCCGTGGCATGCAGTGAAGAGCCACCAAATGAATAAGATAAGATATAGAGACAGACTTTGTTCACGCAAATAGGATTTAGCTCTTCAATAAGAAGAGGTAGTAAAACCCGAAAACATCAGAGTCTAATTGATGTAGTATCTATAGCTGACTAAGATGTCGCCGTTCAGCCTGTATCGGCCGCAGATGTCAAAAAGCGGGCGGCGATGCGGACCTCGGTCAATGCTCTAGCATTCACGTCACTCACTTACAACTGACCATCACTCGACATCTCAGCCTCTTCCTGCTGGTCAAAATCTCGAATCCTGGCATAGGATTTTTCTCCATTTGCGCACACGACGTCTTCTCCCGTCTCGCACACAACATTGCTTCAGCCATGGCGCCAGTCGAGTCCGCGCCGCCAAGCAATCCCGTCGTTGCAGCGCAGATGCAGCAGGCGTGGAACCGGCACTTTCCCTACAGCGCCTCCACCACACATCCCGCATTTTTCACGGATAAACTGCGTCGTTCATCTGTTTATGCAACATCGCAGCAATTGAACAATCCAGTGACCCACGGGTACATCTATCAAGATGGGACAAGACCGGCTGGTAATGCTGGGAACTTGCCCAAATTATGAGTGAGAGGGCGGCGAATCTAGGAGACAGCGTGGGCCTGATATTGACAGTACATCGCCTTCCTGGGACTCGTATGCTATCAGTTGAGCGGTTGAGTTTCTGTTCCCGGCCGTCACCATGGCGGCAAACATGTGCTGTACTGCAGCATTGCATTGATAGGCACGACAGACATTTACGCATTTGAAATGGAAATGATGAACCGAATTGGGTAGAAAATATTCTCAAACTAAGGAAAGGAAAAGAAAGTGAGAACTAGTCATGACAGAAGAAACGCCAATTCCAAGAGCTTTGAACGACATGAAACTGTGCTGCTGGCGTGGTGTTTGATGCTAATGTATAAATGATGGGCCGCTTATTGCTAGTAGTTTTCATGGTGTGTATCGTCTCGTCAATTTTTCACAGAAATGACAATGACCAGTATAATGATGAGGATGACCAGAGCGAGCAGGGCCATAAGCTTGACATTCTTCCACCACATCTGGCGCTTGAGACCCCGACTGCGCACGCGAAAGTCGCGCGCGCTACCCCCGAGCCGGTCCGTCTTGTCTACGAGTAGATCCAGGCGCTCGCCGCGCTCCAACAGGCTCTCGATATTCTTGGTCATGATTCCGCGCACGTCCTCAATCTCACGGCGCGCGTTGCCAATGGCATCGCTCTGGCCGCCGCTCGTGGCGCCGTAGTCGACCATGAGTGTCTTGAGCGTGCCGTTGAAGGAGCCGGCGCCGTAGTTGGGCATGTCGGAAAAGTCGCTCGTCTCGGGAAACGCGGCGAAGAAGCGCCGGCGTACCTCGACAAGGTAGCCAAAGGGCACGCGGCGGCCAAGCGAGGCGTCGGCAATGACGAGAAACGTCAGCCCACCGGCGGCTGGGTGATCGGGGTACTCGGAGGGAGCCTCTGCAATGTAGTGAATCTGGTGGCTGCCGTGGGTGTAGGTGAGCTTTTGCGGCTTGGTGTGCTCAATCTTGGGGAGGATCAGGGAGGCGAGCGACGAGGTTTGCGACGAGGCCGAGGTTGTGCATTCCGACAGGATAGTCGTTTTGTGTGCGATGCAGGAACTGCGCGGATAGAGAGGAGCCTGTTAGCATTGCGAGCTTTCGCCTGTGTGAGGCTTGGAATGAAGCCTCGTAGAAGGTAGGGGCCCATCCATACTAGAGCAGCGGCGTCGCTGGCGTCGACGAGGAAGCCATAGCTGACAGCCGTATTGGTCCTTTGAATAAGCGGGTTTTCTGCGATGGAGGGTTGTATTGACTATATGCGATAATCTCGGAAAGCCAGCAGCAGTGAGAAGGAATGCTCGAATAAAGTGCTATGAGGAGTCAAAGGTGTTTGGGAAGCGCTGCGACGCCAATGACGCAGACAATACGGATTACGGTAGCGACGAAAAAACACGTGCGCAGAGCGGCAGAGAGCTCTGTAGCGCCCAGTATTTAGCAGGTGTCACAGCGATTAATGAGCAATCTGACAGTGGCATATCCGCTGGAATTTGTTTTATAGTAGCCTTCAGCTAGTGGCGTTAATTGGTTGCCTGGAACTAGCCACAGCAAGAGCGGGTCACTGTGGCGTCTTGGCCACAAAGGGGTGCGACTCGCTCATCTAGCCAAGGTTGCATGTAAATTTCCAAGCCTAAATTTTTTTTGATATTATACTCGCAAAGGGGCAAACAACAGGAACCAGCCAGTCTCTTAACTCGCAAAACGAGATCGACTGCTCAGATTTCAAGGCGATGACGCAAATATACTAGGACGCTTTGGCTATGATACCTGTTGTCTGCAGACGGGCTCGCGGCGTCCAGACCCCGGTGGTTCTCTGCAAGAGACTACTGTCAACCAGCGCGCCATTACAAAGAGAACGACAAAAGTCCAGGCCGCATCGCGCCGTCGGCGAAAGGCCGCCTGGCAAGAAGCTGCGACAGAGGTTGAATGAAGATGGGAAGCTCCAGTCAAGAGCTGATTCGGTACGCGCTCTCTACCCAGCCTCTTTAATCTCAAGCGGAAGCCACTCAACTCACATGAACCTGCTGAATAGATTGGCCAAGGCCATGATCCACGCTCAAGGCTCATTTTAGATTATGACAAAAAGTATAAAGGCAAACATGCCGTGTTTCGATCTACCGTACTCCATCGCTTGCAGTATGTGCTGCAGCAGCAGCTCGACTCGGCCCAATTCGGGCAAGGTGGCATCAGCGAGGATGAGCTGCGCCGGCAGGGCTCCGAGTTTATGGACGCCATTGACGAGGCCTTTGCGCTCGCTGAGACCAACATTACTCGTCGCGATAAGAACCCGCTCTTCTGGAACCTGCGCGACGCCTTTATCCAAAGGGACGTCAAGGGTTTGCAGAAGGAGATTCAGTATGCCTTTCAGTCCTTTGTCACCCACAAGCGCTTCTCTAAAGGCGTCGAGGAGAGCCAGGCCAACATTCTCAATCTGCGCTTCCCACATGAGTGGTTCCCGGCCACGCGCTCGATGCAGCGCAAGATTCACGTCCACGTCGGCCCGACCAACTCAGGCAAGACGTACAATGCGCTCAAGGCGCTGGAAGCCTCCAAGCGCGGCGTCTACGCGGGCCCGCTGAGGCTGCTGGCCGCAGAAGTCTACCACCGACTGCGCGCCAAGAACCTGCCCTGCGCTCTCATCACCGGCGAAGAGGTCCGCATCCCCGAGGACACGGACGAGTACTTTTCCAGCTGCACCGTTGAGATGGTGCCGCTCAACCGAAAATTCGACGTGGCCGTCATTGACGAGATTCAAATGATTGGCAACGAGGAGCGAGGCAATGCATGGACCACTGCCTTTCTTGGAGTGCAGGCCAAGGAGGTCCACGTCTGCGGTGAAGAGCGGACCGTGTCGCTGATTGAGAATCTCTGCGCAACAATCGGCGACGAATGCATCGTGCATCGCTACGAGCGGCTCAGCCCCCTGAAAACAATGTCTACAGCGTTGGAAGGCAAATACAGTCGACTGGAAAAGGGCGACGCCATTGTGGCTTTTAGTCGCCTGTCCCTCCACGCCCTCAAGCGCCAGGTCGAGCAGGAAACTGGTCGCAGATGCGCCATCATTTACGGCACACTGCCTCCGGAAGTGCGCGTACAGCAGGCGGCACTTTTTAATGACCCAGACAACGACTACGACTATGTCGTGGCCAGCGACGCCATTGGCATGGGCCTCAACCTCGAAATCAAGCGCGTCATCTTCGAGTCAGTGCACAAATTTGACGGCGTCCAGCATCGTATGCTGAGCGTGCCCGAATTCAAGCAAATAGGCGGTCGCGCCGGCCGTTACCGCTCCGCCCAGGCGGCCCAGGTTGGCGAGGGCAGCGTCGCCGATCCGGCCCCGGATGTGGAGCAAAAGGTCGGCTATGTGACGGCCATGGACCGGCAAGATGTGCGCTCCATCACAAAGGCCTTTCAGCACGATGTCGAGGACATTCAGCACGCCTACATCCAGCCCCCGCCGAGCGTGGTCGAGCGTTTCGCGTCCTACTTTCCTCCCGACACACCCCTGTCCTTTATTCTTACGCGCATCAAGGCGGCGGCTAACGTCAGCCCGCTCTATCGACTCAACATTAGCAGCTCGGCGCTCGAGATTGCAGACATCATTCAGGATCTCCCTTTGTCGATCTACGACCGGCAGAGCATCTGCCACATGCCCATTTCGCTCTCGAGCGAGGGCTCCATCGCCGCGCTCCGCGCCATGGCTCGCGTCATTGCCCACAACGAGGCCGGCGAACTGCTATCCATCAAGGAGATACCCCTCGAGGTCCTCGATCTCCCTTTCATGCAGCTCTCGGGTAAAGAGGCCACCGAGTACCTCTACAAGCTCGAATCTCTGCACATGGCTCTCAACGGCTACATCTGGCTCTCGTACCGCTTCATTGGCATGTTTCGCAGCATCGACCTCGCCTTTCATGTGCGCGGCCTCGTCGAAGCCAAGCTGATTGACGCGCTGGAGAAGCTTAACTTCACCGACGAGCAGCTGCTGTCCCAGCGGCAGAGGAAGAGACGCCAAGCCAAGGTAGCCCAGCTGCGCGGGAAGGTGGTGGCCAAGGCGGACATTGACGCCACCAACGACAGCGCCATTCTGGGCCTCACGGCTTCCAAGACGGCGGCGGAGCAGCGGGAGGAGGTGGCCATGTAAAATGTACAACAAACATTATTGTATTATAGAGCACATAATAAAAGGCGCGCTCTTCTTGTATGAGGGATTCAGCGGCCACGCTGTTGCTAAGCAGCATGTACAACACACCAAAAAAAAAAGCATTTAGACAGGAGCCATTCAATTTTCATGTACGAATTGGAAATTGCGAGCGAACACCAACTAATGACCGGATTGAAACAAATTAAGCTCATCGTATAACTGCCGTTCTAGTATATTCGCTTTTCAGATCCATGCTGTTGGGTCTGTGTGGTAATTTGACATTGGTCCTCATAAAACATGATTGAAGGCGCGCGCTTACTTAGTCTTTCTCCTTGCCGCTACGGAGTGCATCCCGATCGACACTGCTAGCCCATTACGTACATCACATGAGACCATCAGTTCAGTGGGAGCATGACGGGCCTTAAAACGCCAGCGCTGAAACGCGGCGTCGATGACGGGAGCGAGCAGGTCATACTTGTCCCGGGCATCGTCCATGTGGTTGACGGAGGGCAGGCCAGCGGCGAGTGTGCGCTCATAGCCGTCAAGCTAGAGCTGCTGCCAATGCCGCCGTCGCCGCCGCCGCCGTCGTCGTCGTCGTCGCTGGCACGAACACGCGCGCAAAGGGCTGCCTCTCGTCGTTGAGAAGACTGCGCTGAGGCTGCTGTTGCAATAATACGCAGGTAGTCGAAGACAGTCAATAGACGCTTGCTCACGCAACTGAGAAGCCCGTTAAAGAATTTGTGTTTATGGTTCGGGCTTGGGCTACGAGCTTGTTGATGACGGCCCACGCGAGAAATTTGCCCATATGGGAGCCGGCGTTTCTTGGAGAGGAGCGCGGCAGGAGGGTCAACGCCCTTACTTCATTGCATCCTGAATCTTATGTTAGCGCTGGTTTCTTTATCATAGGAGGAGAGAGGGACGGCCCGATAACTCAGAAACGAAGGTAGGCCTATAGTTATTGCTATCTAGTACTGCGGCATTGAATGCAACATATTCCGCATATAATGAACCAATACTCGTGGAACATGAGAATGTATACTGGAAACGTTATATCATCAGGCAACGAAAGCCAGTTATGCCTAATTTGAAAAGCCGAGGTAGTGACTAGCATTGCATCACGCCGCGAGTAGGGGATTTTCCTGACGTCAGAATACTACAACAATATGCATGCATACTTAGGAAAGCAATGTATGAGAGAGAATCGCCCGAAATGCGCAGCGTTTTACCTCGCTGTTTAGCGTGGGTTATAATATTATACCACTGTAGATTGAATTAATATGTTCATAGACATCGACCCCAAGCTTCGTGGCGTTATACCAGGCCAAGATCTCGGCATTCTGGAGCTATTGAGGGTCCGTTACGCCATGATCCGGGCCAAGTTGTGCACTTTTTAAATCTTGGATAGCCCCAGAAGAAGTGCAAGGCCAATTCGTACCGGGCGGAGCCCTTCTGTCCAGTGCTGAGCCAGTGCAGCAAGCGATATGTCATCAGCTCGGGAGATAGCATGACGAAAGATTTGAGAATTGCGAGACTCCATTGCAGGAATGTTGAACTGATGTAGGATTGGCCAGAATGACGCTCAGACTGTGTGACTTTGGACGGGGAATCTGTGCATGCTGTTAACAAAGGTTTTGTGCCCTAAACGCTGGGCGGAGAGCAGGTAGGTCTTTCGCCTCTAGTGTCCGGAGATTCTCGAGAGATAATGTCTTTCTGGGCCATGAAAACGTTATCAGCTGCAGAAGCGACCCGGTGTGCTGGCGATCGACCAATCTGCCCTTGAAAAATGCCTCTGATTGTCGAGGAACTGAGAGGAAGCAAATGAGCGATGACAAAGATACCTAAACGCCAACGGCACGAAATGTCAAGGTGGTGTTGAATTGCGTTAGGTTGCAAGAAGAATACTAGAGATGGCACCATTCATTGCAGATCGAAAGCGGGGAGCTGGGTCTGGCTTAGTGTAGGTGGCAACGACGTGTCCGGCCTCGATCGCCTGTTCAATGTCAATTAAGAGAATACAGACCGCCAGATAATCAGTGAAGATTACCCACGGGGCGAGGACGAGTAATGAGTCGGAAGCATATCGCTTGCTGGCGAGCCAGGCTACCACGCCGAAAACCGCACCACTGACTAACATTCTGTGGTATGTCTTGTGCTGCATCCGTTCAACTGCAATTTGACTCCCAGGGCCGTAGCAAAAGAGTCGGGTAGCGAAACTGTAAGGTCCGTGAAGAATCATGACGGCGAAACAGAGAATTTTGATATTTGACCGCGACGGTGGATTGACCAACCCGCAGGGCTCTCTGACGCTGTTCATGACTTGCACTTTTCGAGCAAATCTTTGATTTGGAAGCTCTTGGACTCTGTGGCGCCGTTCTCGAAATAACAGTCGGCAGAGGGCAGCTTCGCCACTTTTAGTGAGGGCATCTATTTCCAATAGTGTGTACCTGCGGGACCAACAATTCTTACTTCCCCGCGTTCGAGGTATGTACTGTGCTGGCCGCAGCGGGGCAACATCGCGGGGAGAGTTCTTGGCAGCACCCCTTGTCCCTAACTCCCATGAGATTGAGTAAAACTCGTGGCCTGCGTTGCGTTGCTTTTCTTAGGCAAAGACTCAAGCGAGTTGAAATGCGAGCAACTAAGAAGGAGCTTTACTGTAGTTGTTTGAGAAATATAAGTGCACCTGTTATATTAAGACTCTTGCCCGGTATAAACCGCTTCTCTCCCTGATGACCAAGAATACGGCTACGAATCCCGGGCCCCGCTACGCCAAAGTCCCCCCCTTGTGATATAAAGACTCCAGACCTGCTCCAAATTATAGGTACAGCTCAGGATCCCCTCTTCTCAGAAGCCGATGCACTGGCCATAGTAGCTATGGCGGCACCGCCTAATTTTGACTGGAGTGCTCCCGCTATTCTGGCGGAAGTCGACGCGATACTTGCCCAAACCACGAGAGTTTGGAATTTGGTAGGCGAGATACCATTAGAAAATGTCACGTTTGAGAATACTATCCTCCCAATCGCACAAGACGAGAATGAACATCTTCGTCGATATTATGTGGTTGGATGGTTTGCGTCGGTCACCTCAAACGACGAAATTCGAGCCGCATCAAATGAGGCGCGGAAAAAGGTGCTTGCCTTCCGCAAGAGCCTATGGGGACGAGAAGATATAGCCGAAGCCGTGTTGGAAATTTGGAGCGACCAGCAAAAAGGGTCTCGCCTAGGTGCTGAAAACATGATCTATTTGAATGTGCTTCGGCAGAAGTTTGTCGATAGTGGTCTCGCTCTGAAGGATCGCAAATCTGTCTCCAGATTGGCTGATTTAGAGAGGGAGATCAAAGAATCCGGGTCCGAGTATATGAAAGCGCTGGATGGAAAGCAGGGCTTGTGGATGACGCTTGACGAGTTGCAAGGGGTGCCAGAATCGGCCGTGCTGAGGTGGGAAGCGGACCAGGACAAACGATTCGTTCCACTGAAAGCTGCGACGTTTGAATTACTACTCGACCATGCCGATCGGGAGGAGACTAGGAAGAAATTCGAAATTGCGTTTGATAACCGGGCGAAGGACACAAACCCGGCGCTGCTACATCGCATTTTGGTTCTGAGAGATGAGCAGGCTCGGCTTCTAGGATACAAGCACTACGCTGATTGGCTCGCAGTGACCCGAATGATGTGTCCCGATCGTGCTGTCGCTTTTCTTGAGGATGCTGCAAAAGTCCTCTCCGGTCCTGTCAAATCTCGCTTAGATGCATTTATAGGAATCAAGGGTTCTCAGCCCCGCGAAAACGGCTCTCCTACTTCTCAGCTGGACAAGATCTATACATGGGACTCATACTACTATGAGCGACTCTGCCGCCAGCAGGAATATGCTGTTGACGAGGCGGCCATACAGCAGTACTTTCCTTTTGATCAAGTGCTGGACCGGGTTCTTCAAATACAAGGAGCAGCCTTTGGATTCAAGTTTGAAAAGGTGAACGCGCAGAATTCAAGAGATGTGTGGCATGAAGACGTCGAAATGTATAAAGTTTGGAAAGAAGAGGGGCAAAAAGAGTTTGCCGGACATTTTTACGTCGACGCTTACGCAAGAGACTTTAAATTTGGGCATCGCGTCAGTACATACTGCCTAGCAAACGGAAGGCAGCCAAAGGAACTGGGCACTGTCCATCAGGCTTCGACAACCGAACAGTAACTAACAGCTTCTAGGCCCATCTGGCCGACGATGGATCAAGGGTCTACCCCAACTCCATTTACCTTGCAAATTATGCGAAGCCATCAAGTCCCGGCGAGTCTGTGCTTCTGACATTTAGAGACGTCGTCTCTTGTTTCCACGAGATTGGGCATTCCTTTCACAACTTTTCGAAAACCACCAAGTTCTGGGTCCTTGCCACTGTGGCCAGAGATTTTGTGGAAACCCCGAGTATCTTGCTTGAGCATTTCTTTTGGCATATGGCTGTAATCCGCTTCCTTTCAGGCCGTCGCACCGCCGACGGCGAGGAAGAAAAGTTACCAGACAGGATCATCGAGCAGCTCATCTCATCGCGCTTTGCCGGAGATATCATGGCAAAGAGCCGACTGGTTCGCGACGGCCTTGCGGATCTGCGCATGCACATGCCGGAGAACCATGAAGAAGTTGTCGACATGGACCCTGTGCGGTACTATAACTGTATGAGGAGAGAGATATGCCAGCTGGCTGGTCCGGAGGATGCAGGCATGGATCAAGACAGCAGCAAGGCCATCTCACGGTTTAGGTACCCCATCCTTTACGCTGCATCGTACTATGCGTACTTTTTGTGAGTTGCTGAACCAATGCAAACCTCATTTCTTTTCTTCGGAGATTTCATCTAATGCACCCATAGGGCTGGCGCCATCAGCTACGATTTGTTCGAAACAAAGTTCCGGCCCTTGATGCCGGCCACTGACGCGGTAACCCTAGAGCAACTCATAAACGCCGAGCTCAAGAAGGAATGTAGGCGCTGGCAGAGAACGATCTTGGAACCAGGAGGAAGACTGGCTGGGCGCTATATGGATGCAATCACGGAATACCTAGGCAGGGAGGCATCTGCCAATGCATGGATAGAGCAGCTTCGATTAGCTACCTGATTATTATTCGTTCAAGTAAAACGAGTAAAGAGGGAAATAAATAGTATTAAGCCTTAATCTAAGTACTAAGTCTTTTAAGCTAAGAGAGTATATAAAGTATGTTAAACTACAAGTAAAGTAACTTAAAAAATAGTTTATAGAATTTATCTTAATTTTTTTCATATTTAGCCTAATTCTTATACTACTAGGGCTACTTATATTATAATACTCGGCGGAGATGAAGTGGGGCCAAGTCTCGCGCCAACATTATTTCAAGACAACACAGACAACACAGTACACAGCCAGAGGCTGCAACAGCTGCAACAGCTGCAACTACTTCAACTTGAACATCTTCGCAACTGCGGCCATATCTTCTACTTTCTCGCCCGCGCCAACCATGGAGGCCTCCCGCCAGCCAATCCAAGACAATGATTCTCACACGGCCACGCTCACTCCGCGTGCCGTAGCGTGCGGCATCCTACTGGGCATCGTCGTGTGCCTCGCAAACATGTATTTCGGCCTGCAAGCGGGTATGGTTAGCCCCATGCCGATGCAGAGTGCCCTACTCGGATTTGCTATCTTTCAGAGCATACGTTCACGCCTCTCCAAGGCCCTGACGCCAGCAGAGACTACCCTCATTGAGGTCATCGCTGGATCTCTCGGCCTCGCGCCCTTTACCTTGGGGCTCACGTCATTCATCCCCGCCCTCGAGTTTCTCACCAATCCAGAGGAGAATGGCCCGTTCAAGTTTACCAATGGCCAGCTGCTGCTCTGGGCCATGGCTACGTGTGGACTGGGCATCATTGCCGCTGTACCCTTCCGAAGACTGCTCATCTTGAGAGAAAGCCTCCCTTATCCATCAGCGACTGCCACCGGAGCGCTGATCGGCATTCTTTTCAAACGACCAGCTATCATTGCTCGAGCTAAGCAGACGCAGATGCGGCCCTGTGCATCGCGAGTCTCACACATCAGTACCGTGTATGGTGAGAGGGACGAGGCAGACCCGGGCGGCGACACTGAACGCCTCCTCGGTGAGAACTCTCGGCACGGAGAAGACCAAGGCTTAGGCCGGGATGCGAATCGGCCTGCCCTCCGGATGCTGCTGTATGCTTTGGCCGCTTCTTTATCTTTTGTCAGTTCATCCCATCTCTGCTGAATCCGCCTTTCTCACACAGAGCATAGGGCTTCATTGCCTACTTCCTCCCTATTCTTCACCGCGTACCCATCTTTGGCCTTAATGCTGCTAGTCACTGGATGTGGGCGTTTGACCTATCTCCTGCCTATATCGGCTATGGTATCGTTATTGGACCTAGTATCAACGCCTACGTCCTTATCGGAGCAGTTGTTGGTTGGGGTATTCTATCTCCGGTGGCCAAGCATCGTGGATGGGCTCCTGGCCAGATGACTGACTTTGAAAATGGCCCACGCGGTTGGATTCTCTGTGTCGGATTAGGATTCATTCTGGGGGACACTATCGTTGCGGTAGGATGGATCTGCTCCAAGTCATTCATATGTTATGCTCGTCGATGGGTCAGCAACATTGTACAGCGAAAACAGCTCTCCTCGAGTCGCGACCAACGAGACGGTACGGAAACACCGCTGTTGCGCGAGTCTAACATTAATGCGCCGACGGGATATAGTAGATCCCGTTAAGATTTTAGTGGCCCTATAAAAACAACAGGGGGTAGATCCCGTTAAGAAATTAAGTAGATCCCATTAGAGGGTAATTAGGCACATAGGTAAATAAAATAAGTATAATAATATATAATATATAGATAAAAGTAAAAGTATTATAATTCTATTTAGTATATATTTATAATATTTTTATTTAATTTATTTAAAAGAGTTATAAACTAAGGGGTTTAGGTTAAAAATAAGCTAGCCTATAAGTATTATAACTATATACTAGGGTTATAACTATAAGTATATAGTAATATATATAATATAACTTATATAGCTAGAAGCTAGGTAAAAGTAAGATTAGTAGATAGTTAAGGGTTTATATAAGACTAGTCTAAGAGGTAAGAGGGTAAAAGTATTAGGGAAGAGGGATAAGCTAGGATATAAGGGGGTCACGTATAAGGAAGCGGATATATAGAGGCGAGCTGCTAATAAACTAGTAGGGAGGAGGTAG